ACTTATAGAGAGAATTTACATAATTACATTGATTTATTCTTAATTGTATTTCATCTATATTATAATTTTCACAATACGAATAATAACTAAGATAATTACATTTGGAAAGCAAATTTCAAATTTTGTATGTGTAAATTTAAACTCTAATTGAACACATTTTTTATATGATTATATAATATATAGCTATTTTATTATTCAAAAGTATAGTTTGTATATGATTATATAATATATAATTATTTTATTTCTTAAATGTTGTGTTTTTTTTTTTTTATAATAAAAGATATTGTGACATTAATTGTAGCATTAATTATTTCCCAAACCATATAGCTTTATTATATAAAGGATTACTTAGTATATATTAGAAAAAATTATTTAATTATTTTTTACTTGACTTCTTATGGAAGTCGAATAGATGGAAGATTTAGGAAGAATCGAAAAAAAGGCATCGGCGCATCGCAATTCACAACCATTCAATACCTCTCTGCCACAACAACCGTTCAATTCCTCTCAATGAGTTATTAAAAGTCCAGAAGCTAAATAAGAATGGGCAATCGAGTGAATGACAATCTACTTTCATAATCCACAAATAACAAATCTTGTCTGCAGTCAGTCGGTCCTGACTCTGTTCGCCACGCCTTCACCACTCCGGTCTACAATTGTAATTTGCAAAGGTATTTTAATTTTATGATTTGAGATTTTTTTTTTAAAGCTACGATTTGGGAATTAGGCCATATTGTTAATTGTGTTGTTGAAAAGTCTATGATTTGGCCATTTGGGAATTGGGATTTGCATAATTGTAGAATGTACTGCATTAGGAATTTGTAAAATTTTGATTTCTGAAAGCTCTATAATTTATTTAAGAATGATAATTTTTAATTGGGATTTTCAGAATTGAAAACTACAAGTCATGGCTTAGTTTGCAGATTAAATAATTATCCATTTATCCAGAATTCTAAATTCCTAATTGTTAATTGAAATATTGAATAAGCTATATTGTTGTATCTATTGTTTCTTAGAGTAAAATGTGGCATCTGTCAGATGCCAAAGTTATTTTTTGGTTTAATTTACTAATTACTTTGTTGTAGTGATTCATATTGTCCCTTTTTAATCTTTCTGGATTGCTCCTGTTGAATGTTGATGTCCAAATATTAATGGGGGTTTATTCGGAATTAATTGGCCTATATGTTATAATTTTATTTATTTATGCAGAATATTAGTCTTTATTGTTGCAGGGATTGAATGACATGGATATTTTTGTATATAAAAAATGTTGAAAATTTTCTAATCTTATTTTATGTTATTTGACGTCATGATTTTATTAGTATTATTAAATTTTAATTTCAATTTTTCATATAGGGACCCTTTTTTTAATTTCGCCCCGGGCCTATAAAATGTTTGGACCGGCCCTGGGCTAACAATCCATTAATGACTCGATAGGTTGTACAATGGAGGCTTAAATGCTTAATGTCAATCAACTATAATGACTCGATAGGTTGTACAACATGAGGTTGGAGTTTATTTTTTTGAGTAATACTACATATACTCCCACATTTTAATTCATTTTGTACTCCATGCTTACATGTCACTTTTTGATTCATTCAATACAATGTGGGCCACAGTTTTTATTACTTTCTTTTCATCATCATCCAATAAAAGCAAGACACGTGGCGAAAATTTTACTCCCTTAGAGTACATATATCATTTTCCTTATTTTTTCTTCTTTTCATCATCCTCCAATAAAATCAAGACACATGGCGGAGTTTTACTCCCTTAGAGCATGCGCATCAGTTGGGAAGAATGTGAGGATAATATAAGAGTGATTAGGAAAGAGAATGTGGGAGGGGAGAGAAAAAAAAGAAAAAAAAAAAGAGAAAATGGATTTAAAATAAAAAATAAAAAATGATGTTGTCAGGCGCGTCTGACGCGCCATCGGGTGCACGCACGCGGCCGGCTTTTCCCCAGATGTGCGCGAAACGCGCACAGCCTTAGTTCATTTTTTTTTTAACTTCTGACATTATTTTTACATTTGCAGTCCTATTCTTTCTCAATTATTTCATTCCTACATCAGTTATGCTTTCACCTTGGGGAGAATTAATTCTGAAATAACTCCACTTTCTCTTCTATTGTGGATGCTCTTAGGGGATGTTTGGTTCATGGAAAATGTTTTTTTCTTGTGTTTGGTTTATGGAATTCATTTTCCATTGGAAAATGAATTCCTCAAAGTTGAGGAAAACAAAATCCTTGGTTGCACCAAGGATTTTGTTTTCCATGAAAGATGGGAAGAAAAAGTGAGATGGAATGCATATTTTACATTTTTACCCTTGTTTACTTTTTTAATTATATTACTTTTATTAATTTGTAGGGACATATAGGTCTTTATACTTGTTATTCTTTACAATTTCAAATATAACCAAACAATAAAATTAGTATTCTCAGTAATTCTTTTTTCACCAACCAAACAATGAAATTCATCTTCCTAGTAATTATTTTTTCATAAAATTTCAATTTCACTTCCCTTAAAATATTTTCCGCGAACCAAACGAGCCCTTAGAATACATATATCATTTTCCTTATTTTTTCTTCTTTAAATAATTTAAGTTTTCCAACTTTGTTGAATCTTATTTTAAAGTCAATGAAGATACGGGTATAATGGAAATAAAATAAAATGTGTTTGGTATAATATAATGTGTTATAAAATATGGTAATTTGTGTTCTTTTTATTATAAAAAGGCAATTAATTTCTTAATTTATCCTCGTTCTCTTTTATTTTACCAAATTGTTGCTATCAAATTAAACGGAGACTGTTTAGTTGAAGGAACAGTGGCAATTTTGTAATTTTGCTAAGTTGGATGGCAGTCTATACTTGATACTCACCTTCAAAGAAATACTCCGTAACATGTTTTCATTATAAAGCAAAAAAGTATTTGACATTCCTTTTAGACTTTTGCTCTAGCTTCTTTCCAAAGATCCCTTAAGTTTTTTTTTTTTTTTTTCCTTGAAAATTTAAGAACTTCATTAATGCAAATCATCATACAAGTTGTTGACAATAAAGGAAGGATGGCAGGAAGACCACTCCTTACGCAGAGACAAAGAACAAGCTTCCCTAGTAAGACTATGGGCAACGCTGTTCACAATACGTCTAACATGAAAGATAAATACATGACTAAGTGAACGTAGCAAGTCTTTTACATCAAAAATAACAAGATCAAATGAAGAATCCTCCCCATTAAGCTTCAAACTTTGAGTAATATGGAGAGCATCCGTTTCTACTTGGATGTGACTGATATCACGAAGCTTAAGCCAACTCAAAACATGTGGCTGAACATTGATGAATAAGATGAGCATTACACTCGAGACTCGAGGGGGGGGGGGGGTAACTCCTAAACTCGAGGCAAAGAGCTGCTATCAACAGATGCAGCTAGAACATGAGTCAATCGGTTCGTAGACCGAAGAATAAAACATGAGCTACTCGGTTCATAGACCGGCGAATAAAACCAATGCGACATGAATTTAAAGAGCTAAGCAAAGCTGAACAAACATTATAAACAAGATCAATATACGACGTACTCTTTGCTAAATTTCTGCATAGAACCTGACAATCTGATTGGAAACGAACTCGGGCAAAAACTTTGTTCTTAACCCAAGATAAAACCTCTTTACAAGCCATTACTTCCGCCGCGTGTGCATCCATCGCTCCTTCCAGTAAATCATTTGTAGTCGCAACCCAACCCCCATCCTTCGATGTAACTTAGAATCCATACACAAAGGTGCTAGAATTTTGGTTATAAGCAGCATAAAAAAAAAAAAAAAAAAAAAAAAAAAAAAAAAAAAAAAAAAAAACCATATGTAATCCCATGGTTCTTCCTTCGAATCGGCAGTTGATAACCGATGATTGGACCTTAGACTCAAACACAGCTGAGTTGCGCGCTAACCAAATAGCATGCAACCCCGCTGCCATCAATTCAGCGTGATCCTCTCCAGGCATGCCCAACACATGAGACAACCAATCAGCCCACTCCAAACCAACTTATGGAAGATTAACATGAGACCCATGCCAAACCCTCTTAGCATAAATACAACTACAAAACACATGGAGCAGTGTTTCATGTTCTTGTCACAAACAGAACAAAGAGCTTCCTCCACACATTTTTTTCTTAATCGATCAATAGTAGGAAGAACCCCTTATGCAACTCTCTAAACCACGGTCTGGTATTTAGGGGGCATATTCAATTTCCAGATAGAACTCCACTATATAAAAACACTACTAGCTATCTCTAATTCCCCTATCAACAACATATAACCATTCCTCAGAGTATAGTCACCACGTATATTACAATGCCAAACCAACAATCCTCATAATCCATATTAATAGGGTTTTAGAGATTTATAAAACCTCCGTCTCATAGAAAATATCCCAAAGTAAATTAACGTTCCAAGAATTTATGAGTGGATCAAGCAAATTATTTATTGTAAGATCACGCAGTTCCTGAGGTTGAGGGGATCGAATTCTGCCTGCATTTGGACCAGTCAGCCATGAGTGTTCCTATACCTTGTGTTGCAACCATTATCCACCATGTGCTTGACACCCCTATAAATTAGTGATTGGGCCTCTAAAATACTCCTCCAACAATAACTTGGGTTACTACCAATCGTTGCCTCCAGATATGAACTACGAGGATAGTAACGTGTCTGAAAAGTGAAAAACACGAGAAACTAGAGAAGTTGGGTTGGTAAAAAAATGCCAACCCTGCTTAGCCAATAGGGCAAGATTAAAAGCATGAAGACACCTGAACCCAAGCCCCCCAAACCTTTTTGGCACAGTCATTATCCCAAGCCAACCAATGGATTCCACTTCTCTCACCACCCCAATTCTCACACCAATACATGTTCATCTTTCTTTCTAATTCCTTACAAAAGGACTTGGGAAGTAAGAAAACACTCATAACATACATGGGCATAACTTGTGCAACTGTTTTTATCAGAACTTTCTTACCAGCACATCATGACAAAAACCTCCTGTTCCTGGAACCAATGCGGTTACCCAACTTTTCCTCAATATAGGTAAATACTGCTCGTTTGTTCCTCCCTACCACTGAAGGCAAACCCAGATACTTACCAAAATACTCTGTTTGTACCACGCTAAGCAGACCCACCACCACCCTCCTTTCAACCTCCTTCATGTTCCTAAATCCCACTGAAACAAATGCTAGACTTATAAAAATTTACCAATGGCCATGGCAACTTCTTCTACTCTTCCAGACACCCTTTCACCACTTCAGCCTCCTGCCTATTTGATTTGAAGAAAAGAAAACTATCATCAGCAAAAAACAAGTGTAAAACTGGGGGGAGCCCCACGTGCCACTCTACACCCATGAATTCTCTCCCCACCCTGTGTCTGCTGCAAAAGCAAAGATAGACCATCAGCACATAAGATAAATAAATAGGGAGAAAGGGGGTCACCCTGCCTCAAACCCCTAGTAGGAACTACCACACCAGCCACATCCCCATTTACCATGACGTTATATCTAACCAACGTCACACACAACATAATCAGATTCACCCAACGTTCAGCAAAACCCAGACCAACCAGCATACATCTAAGGAATTCCCACCCCATCCTGTCATAAGCCTTCGCCATATCAAGTTTTAAAGTTTCCCAACCTACTTCCCCATAAGTTTTCTTGCATAAATAATGACCCACCTTTGCTGCCACCGAAATGTTGTCAGTTATTAATCTGCCTAGAAGGAAGGTACCCTATGATTTAGAAATGACATAACTTAATAAACCATTCATACGATTTGCAATCATCTTAGCCATCACCTTGTAAACTACGTTACACAAGGCAATAGGCCTAAGATAAATAAAATAAAATAAAATAAAATAAAATAAAATAAAACTAACTCCGAAACTTTCTTTTTTGGCACTAACACAACATTTGCATCATTCAATTCAGTAGGGAATTATCCCATTTGCAGACAATTAAGAACAAAACTAGTAACATCATAACCCTCCACGCCCCAAAATTTTTGAAAGAAACAAGGATTCATACCGTTCGCCCTAGGGGCTTTGTCAGGGAACATGGCAAAGATAGCATCTCGAACCTCCTCCGCCCTGAAAGGCCGCAGAAGCTCATCATTCATCTCACTGGTGACGTGTGCTTGTAAATCTCAAAAGAACCGGGCCCCTTAACAACCTTTACTCTGGAAAATACCATCATAATAGCTCACAGCCAGAGGCCCCAATTCCTTCCCTTCCACCCAATCACCATCCCCATTCTTTAGCTTAACCAGTCGATTTTTCCTCTTCTTGTTAGAGGGCGAGAGATGGAAATACATAGTGTTCATATCCCCTTCTCTCAACCAGTGCTGCTTTGCCCTTTGTTTCCAATAAACATCCTATCGTCTTAATAACTGCTACAACTCAACATTCAACCGATTAAACATATTTAACTCCCTCTTACTCGTATGGCCCGCAATGGTCTCGTCTCCTTGCGAATTACCTTAATATGTTTACCAAAGCGATGACATCTGTCACCACCCCAACCAACCATCCGCGAACCACACAGTGCTAATCTCTCTTGCAAACCCATATCCTCATATTCGTTCAAAGAGTCCCTCACCATTTCACCACAACCTGCATCCAACAACCAAGCATTCTCAAACTTAAAACCCCTCATACCCATCCTCACTTGTGGCTCATAGATATCTAGGAACAAAGCAGAATGATCATAAGTGAGAGTTTCCAGATTGTACCCCTCGTCCCTCATGTGAATTCCTCCAATCCCCACCCGCTACCACTTTGTCCAGTCTCTATTCCACCAACCTTCTGTACCCCTACCTCTTTCCCAAGTGAAAGGATAACTAGTGTGGGCAACCCACTCAAACCGCAAGTCTCTAATGTCTCCCCAAAACCATGTAACAACTAAGATGGATGAGGCCGACCACCCCTCTTTTCAGCATGAGAGACTAAATCGTTAAAATCCCCCAACATCACCCAAGGCAAGTCTGACCTCCCCTTCAAGTCCTTTAACAATTGACGCACCTCCTTCCTTCTACTTCTCTTTGGAAACCCGTAATAACAAGTCAACCTCCACCTATGCTCCCCCTCCCTCCCGTTCACAACTAAATCGATGTGATTTCTGCTAAAGCTCAACAAACTTGCCATATTATGCATCCTCCACAACAAGGCCAACCCACCACTCAGACCCACACTGTCTACATAGAAAAGACCCTCAAACCCCAGCTTCACCTTCAACCTCTAAGCATGCCCTCTACATACTTTAGTTTCCATCAAAAAGATGAAATCGGGTTTCTTCGTAGCTGCAAAAGCCAACACCTCGTGAACTGTTCGTGGATCACCCAAGGCACGACAGTTCCAGCTCAAAACACTCATTGAGAAAGGCGGGCCTGAGACTCAAGTCCAACAAAAAACAAAGCATTTGAATTGTCTCGCATCTCAACATCCCCCAAATTAGCCCCATACCATCCTCTTCTCCTTTTTGGTGCCATGGCCACACCTACCTTACTCAACACACACTCACCACCTCCCAATACTGGATTTGCAACCCCCAAAACCCTCCTGTCAGCCAACAACTCCAACATGTTACCAAACCGACCTCGACCTTCTGCCACAACGCCAACACCACCTCTGCTAGCCAACCCCTTAGACCCCGTAACCAACCAATGCTTCCCCACCCCCTTACCATCTCTTCCTCCCCCCACCTTCAACCATGAATCGTACGGGAACTTATCTGGATCAACCCTGGCACCCCTAGCCAAAGCACAGAAGCGATCAATATGGCTTAGCATACCATAGAAAAAATATGGTGTAGTCTCTCATATTTAAAATTCACCCAGGACCACTTACCATCTCTACACACCAGCTTCATTCTCCGTTTAATCGGCTTACGAGCATCCAAGGCAGCCCTAACCCTGAAAAAGCTTCTGCTCGTGCCAGAATTAACCAAATCCAACTTCATAAACCTCCAAATATTCCCAATATTTAAGGGAAATAAGATGCCTTCCAGTAGTTATTGCATAGACCACGGTCCAAAAACGACATTGTTTCACTTTTTTTTTTTTTTTTTTTGTTCACGCGACTCGTTGTAACATATATTTTTGTAATTCATAATGTACATTATTTTAAAGCATAATGTACATTATTCTAACGCATAAAATACATTATCTTACTCTAGTAGTTTCATTATTCTCACATAGAGTACATTATTCTAAATAATAAAGTATATTATTCTTACTCATAATATTCAAAGACATTATTTTGGTTCGTGGTCCACACAATAATTTGTCGATGCCTTCCTAACCCATCGAAAACATCTTTATTATTACAATAAGCACTAAAACTATTTTTTGGACAAGTTAAAAATCATATTAAGCAACATTTATTTTAACTTATAGTGATTATCCTCGCTTTAGTTTCACACATTGGACATTGATTAGTTCGCGCAAAGCGTGTGTTCTAACTAGTTGTATTGACAAGGTACAAATAAGTCATCAAACTATTTAAGAAACAATAATTAAGTCGTCAAATTCAAATAAGCTCCAGAAATATCCACAAACTATTTGAGAAATAATAATTAAGTCATCAAACTTGAATAAGCTCCAAAAATATTCACAGACCCAAAAAAAAAAAAAAAAAAGAAGCAATTAGCATTTCTAACAAGTAAAGTCCCAATTCACGCTATATAGGTTGTCTAGTGTGGATTATTTTTTTTATTATTATAATCGAACGTGGATTAATTATGTGGGCTAGGTGGACTATGAGACACACATTCTTTTCACATGTAGTAGTTTGTTTTTTGTTTATTATACTCCCTCCGTCTTATTTTATGTGTTTGGTTCGATTCATAAGGCTTGATTGTAGTTATTTTTAATTTAATTTTTGAGTTAATTCCATTTTTTATCTTACATTTATATGTGTCTATCCATTTCTAGTCCTCTTTATCAAAACATCTCAATTTGGTCATAGTATTATTATGACATGATCATTTTTAGTTTTATGTCAACAAAATCGTTGAAATGTCCTTAAATACAATGACATTTTGATTTTTTTTTATACAAAGCGGGTTGACTCGCTATATATTAATATTTTTTTTTTGAAAAAAATCTATAATTGAAGACCGAAATACCGTGTATTTAACAACATTTAACCGTTTTGTTGATAGAGGACAAAAATGATCATGTCACAATAATACTAGAACCGAAGGAGGATGTTCAGATAAAAGATGATTAAAAGTGGATTGTCAGATCACCTACAAATGTAGGACCAAGAATGAAATTGCTTGTGATTCCCAAAGACACAAGGCAAGATGTTGTTGAGATTGACAATAATCTTCAACTAAATAGGATGGAACCTGGTGTGGATCTAAAAGAAGTTGAAGAGCTTGTTAATTGGATTGCTTTGATCATAACTATATGCAAAATCGCGCGATACTAGCACAATACTAAATGTTGTTAACTCTATACATCAAATCGGAAATGTAAATATAAATCAAATGTCCAAATACATATGACACCGGGGCATACCCCTGAAAACAAAAACACAAATACGAACTAGACACAAGAAAATCAACATCGGCTAACACATTAGACTAGGCAAAATTAATTTTAAATTAAACTAAGCCTAACTAGTACGCCATGATGTCTCACACACGCATTCCATGAACGACAAAAATCCAAAGCAAAGCACTGAATAAAGAAAACCCATGCATGCAAACTCGAACCCTAGCCAAATGCCACAATGCACGCCCATTCTACCACTGCATTGCACTCAACCTTTAAAGCCATAGCTCACAAGATAATGTATGAAGTGTAGTAGCAAAACGTCCTCAAGCGGGGGGGGGGGGGGGGGAATAAATAAAATCGTCCGCCATATAAGAAACTCAAACACACGCCAATCGGCTCATAATCAAGCTCTCAACCCGTCTAACCATGGAGACTACCTTGCTTAAATCATGTACCAGAAACATACTTAACCCATACCGCCAAGAACCGGGTCTGCCCACATTTAGCGGGTTAACCCGGTCTCATTAGTCAAACTCCATGCACATGCACCTTCCATCATCAGCGGAGATCAAGAACGCGTCTTGCTTCTAATTCCCACAAAATCCGGTAGATACCATAACCAGTCACCTCCCAAAACGGCAATAGCGCGTTACCATCCGGAGATCACCGACGGTCAACGCCGGACAAATCCCTGGAGCTCCGCTGCCACCCACCGACAAGACACCGGCCGGCGACTGGAGAACCGCTGGTGACATAGTTTCTGCCGGAAAACCGACCAAACTACTACAAACTACGAACAACACTGAACACAAACCCACCTCTCTCCGGAAGCACCGGAAAATCTTCAGACCATCGCCGGAAAAAACCACAAAGCCATCCCTAACGCCAGATCCCATCCAGATCAGTTCCACCACCCCTTCCCCCACCCAAACGCGGACGGCAACACTCCAAAAAGGCCGGAAAAAACAAGGATCATTGGACCGAGGCTGGAATCATCCAAACCATCTCCAATACAATCCAACTCCAGTCACCAACTCAGAGCATCAAAAACCACATACAAGGATCAAGCATGAAGAGGCGAACTCACCGGGAGTGATACTAGCGCCGGAAAAGACTTCTACGATCATACAAACCGAGCAAGAAACCTGAGAAATACCTTCGTTCAAGGGTGGTGATACAGTCAGCGAACTCACCCCTTGAACTCATATTGTAATGAATATATGAGTGACAAGCATATTTCAGAGAGTAAGACATACTTCAGTTGTGGCCAGATTGCGTAATATAGATCATCGTTACTTATGAGAATCAAATTAGAGTTATCTCAAAATTATCCCTCATAAAGAGAGCTCATTACCACTTGAGCTATCCTATTAGATTACAATAATTATTTTATTAGTGTTTTAATATCCACTATTCTAAAGTAGATTAAAATTTAAAATATTTTCATAATCATTTCACCTAAATATCTAATAAAAATTAAATTATACTATGTCATGTGTATAATTGATTTTTATATATGCATTTGCTTGCTTTATTAATATAACATTTTACATTAACATATAATATGTAGACCTTACATTGCACATGTAAAATGTCAGTAACTTGAAATACCAAAAAACACTCGTACAGGCTGTTTGGTTGGATGTAATTTCTTTGTAATTGAATTGAAATTTAGCGAAGTTCTAAATTACATTGTTTGGTTGGAGGGGATTGCAATTTTCTCTTTTTGTTGAATTGCAATTCATGGGGTACCCCATGAATTGCAATTCAATCAGACTGTGGGAGGCCCTTAGGTTTGAGGTTCAACCTTTTGGACGAATGAATTACAATTTAATGAATTTGAGAAAGGAAAACTAGATCAAATGACATTACTACCCTTGGTTTTTATTACTATTATTATTGCATAAGGAAATTTTAGTTTTTATACCACTTCTTTCCTTCTCCATTCCAATAATTCTATTTCTCCATACCAAACAACGTAATTTGAATTCATATTTTATTCTTACCTTACTCTTTCCCACCAAATTACAATTCCTTTCCCTCATAATTATTTCCTTCCAACCAAACGTCCCGTTAATTCTGACTAAATTTTTATTAAGAGATGGCTTGAGGATCATTTTTGGTACTAAATGGATAGTCGAAAGAATTAATTTGAGAGTTAACAAAAAAATAAAGAGCAATTTTAGTGTGATAGTCAGACGATTATTTTTGATGTTATTGTCTCTAAGTAATACATGTAGTTTTAATTTTTACTCTCCATTTATGGGTCAAAGTACCTACGAGATCCCTATATTATAATGTTTTGTTCAATTTAATCTTTATGTATTTATTTTGTTCAATTTAGTCCATGTACTTTCAAAAGTGATGCAATTAAGGACAATATTTAACGGTGTTAATATTACCGTTAGTTTAGGTTATGTGGCGGTGATGATATTTATATTCCTATTCATATATATTACTTTACAAATATTTAAAATTAATATTTTTACCACTAATATATTAAATTAGTATGTCCAAAATAAATAATTACAACCATGTTCCTAATAAGATTTGAACAATTGTTATTAATTTTATCACTTTTTAAAGTAAAAGGACAAAATTGAACAAAATAAATGTACAAAGACTAAATTGAACAAAATATTATAATACATGGACTTTATAGGTACTTTGACCAACTAATGTGATATATTCTGATCAAATAAATAAATAAAAAAGTAAAGCACTTTTGTTTTCTTCCTCCAATAAAATTATATTCCTACTAGAACACTTCTCATTTTCCACTTGAAAAATAAAAATTAAAACATTCATTCATCTGACCTAAAAAACAAAACCAAAACAAATGTCCTCTTTTTGGTTTTCCTTTTGTTTTTTTGGTGTAGTACGGTGTTTGAGGAAGCAACCCCAAACAGCCTCCCGCGCGGGCTCTTTCTCTCTGATTGGATACTTCTGCCATAGTTAGGGTACGATAATATATCACTGATAATCACATCAGTTTGATCAACTTGGAAACGCTTTAATTCTTCCAAACCTCTTCACCCATATCTCTAGACTAGAAGCTAATTCATCAAAGCAATGAAGAAAAGCAGCAATAATAACTCCGATAAGGGTCGGACTTTACCCGTCGACCCAAATCTCCCCCGCTATCTCTGCCAAAACTGCCATAATTCCTTTTGCGTAGTTGGCGTTGATTCTTATGCTGACAAGCTCTTCGGCGCCGACTCCTCCTCCTCTTCATCTCGCTCTGGTTAGTCCCTCTTTGAATTGCCCTATTTCCGTACACAAAATATTCTGTTTATGGCTTCTTTTTTTCTTTCTTTTAAACAAGTTGTAACAAAGCATGTATTTTTCCTCTTCGATTTGAGGCTGACCCATGTTTGAGTCTTGAACCAGATCCCAATTTCCCACATATAAATTCTTTGCTTATTCACATTTTGTTAATTTTATCATTCTCATCTTATTACTGTAGCCGCTTCTTTGAGTATTAACAAAATGGGGCTGAAGTGTGTACCTAGATATATGTGGGTTTAAGTGGAATCATCCCACTTTCTTTTGTTTATTAAATATTGTAGAACAGTAGTAAGTTTGAGCTGTTCTTCTATATAAGAACTTACTTTCCTTGGGTATTTGTGTTTACTAAAGCTTCTTGTTGAATGTTACTAACATTTTTTTTTTTTTAAATATTCTATTTATATGAACATGAGGTTGTGTGTGCCTATGCTGGGTCAGGATGTTTGTTTATTAGAATATATGAGAATTTTGTGGTGCACTATATCATTGTAATTAATTCTTGATTTTTGGTCAGAATATTGTGAGTCTGCACGAAAGTGTTTATCGGTCTCAATGTTTAGTTTTGTTGCCATGGAATAACCTTGGTGGTATTTGCTAAATAAGCAGTTTATATGATTAATTGATGTTGGGGAATTGTGTTGTTGATCCAACCATTCTAAGGTGCATTAGTTAAGTGTTTATGATATTCTTTTTCCTTTGCAATCGTAGAGGTTTTGCTGTTTCTTGTTGTCTTTAAGGGCACTTCTGAGTCTAAATTGGTGCTAATCTGAACTGGCCATGCAGCTATGCAGGGTTCTTCTATCCATGGAGCTGGCAGTGTAACAGGGTCTACACGTATGGAGAATTCATTTGTTGTGTTACCCAAGCAAAAAAATCATGGGGTGGGGGTTCCTTCTCGCACTCGAGGAGTAACCAATCCACCCGATTCAAGCCAGTTTGGTAGGGCAATGGAAGAGTCTTTTGTGGTGTTGCCTCCACCAGCCGCTTCAGTGTATCAGTATGCGAGTGCATCTGATGGAACTGGAACCAATCTGCCATCACAAGAAGATGGACCTACCAGTACCCCTACTCAACCAAATAATTCAGGCTTTAATTCCACTATCACCATCCTAAAACGTGCCTTTGACATTGCCACAACACAAACCCAGATTGAGCAGCCTTTATGTCTTGAATGCATGAGAGTGTTATCTGATAAACTTGATAAGGAGGTTGAAGATGTTAACAGGGATATAAAAGCATACGAAGCTTGTCTTCAGAGATTGGAGGGTGAGGCAAGAAATGTTCTTACTGAGGCTGATTTTTTGAAGGAGAAACTAAAGGTGCTTGATCAACAATGATCAATAAAAAACTCTCTCATCTTCCTTGTATATGTTTTAGACAAAGATTAATGCAACCTGAAGTATCATGATGGGTTACTTCTGGAAAGTTTTTTCTTCTTGTCCCTGTTTCCTTTGATGCCTTAAAAAATATTATTATGATCATTTTCCCTATAACACTGCTTTTAAGATTATGCAAAAGCTTAGTGAATGTCTCTTGCCAGCAGTCCAAAATATGCTTTGTTCATGTTGTGGTAAATTGGTCATTATGTTTAATATTTTTTTATTATTTTGTATTGCTATTCAAGATAGAAGAAGAAGAACGGCAACTTGAAGCAGCAATAGAAGAAACAGAGAAGCAATGTGCAGAAGTAACTGCTGAGCTAAAGGAACTTGAACTAAAATCTTCCCGCTTTAAGGAATTGGAGGAAAAGTAATCCCTGAAGAACTTGATTTGAATATTCTATTTGACTAGTTGTAATTTAATTAAATAGCTTATCTGTGTGGTTCTTGGTTGACATGATATTTTCTTTTTTTTTTTTTGAAATTGTTAGTCTTGTTGTTTCATATGATATTGTCTTTCCAGGTATTGGCTAGAATTCAACAACTTTCAGTTTCAGTTGATCTCTCATCAGGTTTGTCTAGTTATTTTAAATCCCTTTTTGTTTTACAAATTCTTAATCCCTTTTTCTAGTGTATGCATGATTCTGATCTGCCATAAGGTCTTAATCTAGTTATTCTTCCTCATTTTTCACATTGTAATTCGATGATAGTTGTGCTATTGGCACGAGCCACCAGTTGCATAGTTCCTTATTGATCTATTTATGCTACTAGACTAACGGAACAAATCTTTTTATGTTGCTGGTGTGTTTAAGTTTTAATAAATAAATTGTTTTCAACAGGAGGAGAGAGATGCAATTTTGGCTAAGACTGAAGTCTCGCAAGCTCATTTAGAGTTGTTGAAGAGGACAAATGTACTTAATGATGCCTTCCCAATTGGACACGATGGTGAATTTGGAACAATTAATAACTTTCGCTTGGGAAGACTTCCTAAAATTCCAGTATGTAACTCAACACAATTTTCTCTGGGAGATGAATTTAATGACTTCTTTCTTTTTGAGCAGCATCCTACAAGATGAAACCATAAATTTAATGTAAAATGTTTGGGCCAGAGCCATTTAAAGCTTTACCTTTTTTTCATCGACAGTTAGAGATTTATATTAAAATGGATGTTGTTTTAGCATGTAGCACGATATTTTTCGCTCCTGTTAATTAATCTAGTTAATTTATCAGTTTTTTTTTTTTTTTTTTTTTTTTTTTAATAATAATTTTATTTTGGCTAAATGTGTAGGTTGAATGGGATGAGATAAATGCTGCATGGGGCCAAGCTTGCTTACTTCTCCATACGATGGCTCAATATTTTCGACCAAAGTTTCCGTATCCTTTCTGCTGGTTTATATGTCGATCTGGTTGTTTCTTTTGAAAGTGTATCTATGTTGACATGTTGAACCAACCTTATTGAGCAAATGTAATGCCATTAACTGTTTATCACTAGATACCAGATAAAGATTCTTCCCATGGGAAGTTACCCTCGAATCATGGACACCAACAACCATACTTATGAGCTGTAAGTCAAAATACAAACATAATAGCATTATTCTGGATAAGGTCTACCAAGTATTTATTTTTTCTCAAAATTTTCTTTATTGTATGAGTGCACTAATCATTGTGTTTTCGGAAAAGAGGTTCTAGAACACTTAGAGATAAAAGAGAGTCGACATAAGATGAGAATTTATAGACATTTTACGTCTCTGAAGCCAGTTAAATTGTGTTTTGTTTCATTTTCAATATTATTGAACTTGTCTGCAGTTTATATTTTACTTATTTCGCTCTGTTTGCTTTTACGATATGGTTGTTTTCATCATTTCATGTAATTGTGTTTGTTTGATTGCATCCCATATTTGTTCTTGAACCTTTTGCTTGTTCCAGGTACCAACATTTTGATATCTATTTTTATTTATATTTTACAAACTGATGACTTTCCCCCTTTTTGAAGCTTTGGTCCAGTAAACCTTTTCTGGAGCACACGCTATGACAAAGCAATGACCTTGTTTTTGAATTGCCTCAAGGAGTTTGCTGAGTTTGCCAATGCTAAAGATAGAGAGAATAATATTCCTCCTGAGAAACGTTTTAGGCTTCCCTACAAGTAAGCCCCGCTTGAATCTTGTAGAACTTGATTCTGGATTTTTTTTGGTCCTAATACAAATGGTGAAAAGAAGATAAGTAAATGATTACTATTGATCACATTCAATCATAACTTTCTGGGCCGTAATTCATTTCCTTTTTTTGCAAATGAGAAATGACTTTTGCCAACATTTCATCTCCTTTTAAAATTTATGAAGTATGAAGCTGTGAATTCTCTATTGGAGGCTGACATGATAAGCCTCTATCCCTCTCAACGTTAAGAGGTTTTTGAAGACGGTGAATAGTGGACACATTTCATGATCAGGGAATTGCAGAAATCTTGTCCGCACGGGTTTAGTTCACTGGTTCAGTAGGCAGTATTTGGAAAAAGAAATCAGGGTTCAAACCTCGGCAGTGACAGTGTGGGGATTATGCCCAAAGTCCCAAAGTGGGCGCAGATCCCTTATGCGCATCGGCATTTGGCCCTGTCTGTTGAGCCATTGAGTCACCGTGATTTACATCCTCCCAAATGCTCTGTCGGACCGGGGTGTGAGAGGGGGGGGGGGGGAGGGGGGGGGCTTGGGGTTGGGGGTTCAACTTTTTGGAGAAGAAGGGAATTGCACAAATCTTAGGATATGAACCTCTTTGTGATATCATTATTTTGCATCTCTACCCTCTAAACGCTCAGAAACTCTGGATTTCATATAGCACGCTAATGCCAATGTTGGATTCTGACAGTTTGTTTTGTTTTCACAGGATCGAAAACGACAAAGTAGAAAATTGCTCCATCACTCAAAGCTTTAACAAACAGGAGAATTGGACCAAAGCTCTCAAGTACACCCTCTGTAACTTGAAATGGGTGCTATACTGGTTTGTAGGGAACACAAATTTCCAACCTCTTTCAGCCCCCGTCTCATCTCAATCGGAAGTTCCAGCTGCTGCAACTTCGATGTACAACAAAAAACCCACTGATGCCAAATAATACGATTCTATCTATAACTAACCATATTGTATTTAGATAAATACAGCAACAGGAAGGCCATCCTGTCCAGTTCAAAATTTGTAATTATATACTTCACAATCTACCCATCATGGGCTTCTTTAACTAGGGGACTTGAAAATAGTTCATTCTTATTGCATGTTAACAGCTTGCAAGAATTTCAATCATCCATTACCTGTTGTTACTTGTTAGCAGGTATGATACGATCTTCTGTGTACGCACTGTTTGCACTGACTTAGCTCAATAGTTCAGTAGACAGTATTTGGGAGAAGAAGTATTGTTCTTTACTGATCGAGGCAGTGGATATCCAAGGCTTGTTCTTCAACACTAGTCGAGCTACTAGGTCAGCTAGCCGAGCTGGGTATGAGATTTAGTAGTAATTATTCCAACACTAGTCCATTATTTTCTTATGCCGAGCTCATCTTGGTATGAGAAAATTTCAACATTTAATGATTTCTTTGCTAACCTCTTCCAACCTTTCGGTAGGAAAATGACAGATTGCTTCGACGTTGTTTTATTGTGTGAATCATGGTCTAAAACGGCGTCGTTTTAACGTTAAAAAATAAAATAAAAAAATTTGTGCTCTGCGCGCTTATGTGTCAGAATAATACACTTTCTGGGGTAAGATAATGTATTTTATGTGTTACAATAATATATTTTGTGTTAAAATAATGTGCTTTATGAATTAGAATAATGTACTTTATGTGTTACAATAATATATTTTGTGTTAAAATAATGTACTTTATGAATTAGAATAATGTACTTTATGTATTTTTGGATCGTAGTCCACACAATAATGATTGCAAATCTGGCCCATATAAATTCCATTGTGCTCTGCCCAATTTCACCTTAATAATCCCCTAGCCCACTAAAATTAATCTTAGACCTTGGTTGGGCCACCAAGCCCCATCACAGGGCTATTTAAAGGTAATTTATATCGTGCATCAGGGTGCGCATTGCATTGTACGCCCTGATGCAAAACGATGTCGTTTCACATAACTATATAAAAAAAATACACATAATTATATAAATAAACACACATAATTGTATAAACAAATATACATAACTGTATAAACAAATACACATAATCACGTCAACTTCCTACTGCGCCTCCCAAAACGACATTGTTTTGGGAGGCGCAGAACAACGCAAAGTGCAATGTGCGCAGGGTATAACGATTGCTATCTAAAGAAAAAAATCTCAATTACAAATGGTTGAAAAGTTAGAATTCACAACGACAAGCTAACTAGTCACTAAAGAAAAGTGGTTGACAATCTCTACCACCTTGACCTATATTTCCAAATTCCAACCATGTGAGTAGGAGATAGTTGTATGAATTTCAAGTTATGAATAATTGTATTAAATAATTTTTTATGATGCAGGTAATTTATATTATTATTTTACGACTCCAAGCGAAAAGAACTGAAGTTAGTAAAGCTTCAACATAGTTAGTAACATAAAAGACTTCAAAAGCATCTAGTGAAGTAAGTCTAGGGTGACCACGGTTCCGGTTCCGATTCTGAAAATGGACGAATCGGAATCGGAACCTTAATATACGGTTCCGGTTAAAATCGTCGATTCTAATTGGAATTCTTTTTTTTCTTTTTTCTTTTTTAAAATAAATTATATGTTATGTTGTTTGTTGCATATGTTATATTGTTTGTTGTATGTGGCAAAAGTGGCCAGTAGGCCACTAGCTTAGTGGCCTACTGGCCAATTTATTTATTTATTTATTTTTAAATTCACGGTTCCAAACCGGAATTGTCGGTTCCGAACCGGAACCGACAATTCCGGTTTCAAATTTTCTATAACCGGAACCAGAACCTAAGGTTCCGGTCCGATTACGGTTAGCACAGTAACGGTTACGGTTCGAACCCCGAAAGTATTGAAAAAAAGATTAGTAAAATTAATGAGTGAAGTAGAGAAGTGAAGATAGTTTAATAAAGTTGAAGATCGCTCATATTAGTGAAGTCATACATATTAAACGGCATAATTGTGACTCTTCCAAATGGGAGGTCACACGTTCAAACCCCAATAAGGACATTAACTCTTTATGCTTCAAGCATTCAATATGTTGAGAAAATATATATATAGACAGATACTACATTGTAACATAGTCAATGTTCTTGAAAAAAAAAAAAAACAAACAAACAAATTTCTTAGCCAAGTCTTCTGATTAAAAACTACTCCGTATAACACTAACAGACTATCCAACAAAAAGAATATTCTACCTAATTACCGTACAAGATTATTGAATATTGATGCAAAAATTAAGGAAGAATTACAAAAATACTGAGAAACAGTTTCAACATTCACAAAACTGGATTAGATACAAGCAAGAGAGAATAAGTTGAAATGTTACAAAATTACTAACACAAGCTAAACTCTAAAAATTTAGTCATTCTAAATTTCTCTCATTTTATTTTACTAAGAAAGAAAAATCAAATACATATAAAACAGAGAAGGAAGAATTTATCTACATCTACAAAATATTACTATACCATACTCATCATTAAAGCCTACCATTGTGATTTAAGTGGTACAGGTTGGTTACAAGCAAAAAGTCTACCATCCGCATCTTACATGTAGCTGGTCAAGCAATGTAGTTACGTAGAAAACCTTATATAGACAATTAGAGCCGGGTGGGCACTCATTAAAAGATTCTTTTAGGTTTATCTGCTTGACTCGTCCTCTACCGACTTCTTTGCCTTTACTCCTCCTTGCTTTCCTTGGCCTCCCTGGTTAATTGAAATACGTAAACTACAAAAATATGAAATGACAGCACAGTAACACACTACGAATGATTTCTAATGTTGATTTTGGTCCCTTCTGGATCCATAACTAAAGTAAGAAAATTTTCAAGTATAAACATATCCGAATGACTTATAATTAGTTTTTAAAGAAGAATGAAAGTAAAAAAGACAAGAAAACCCAGTGGTTCTATTTCTATACCAATCTCTTGTTTACATTTTTTTTTTTTGAGTTAATACTCAATTTAGTCCTAAACGTCTTTATGTGCTTAATTGGATCCTCAACTTTGATGGTTTTACCTAATTGAATCCTCAGCGGTTAGAATCAAGGACTAAATAAAAAAAAACCACTATAGTCGAGGATTAATTTGGTTATTAACCACAATAGTCAAAGACTAAATTGAGTGAAGGGAAATTACAAAGCTGCAGTTACAGAAGACTCAATTAGGTAAAACAATCGAAGTCGATAACCCAATTAAGCACAAAAAAATTTTTAGGACTAAATTGGGTATTAACTCTTTTTTTTTTTTTTTACTTACATCCATAGGGTTGTTCCATGTGTCAAAGCAACAGGAATGGTGCTCTTGAGACAAATATGTCAGAAATCAGAATGCACAAAATTACTACCTCTAATTATTTATTCTGATCATTGCAAAGCAAGTTATTAAGATGCTGCATAACTTACCGAAGCCTTTTGACCTGTCAGCCTCCTAGCAGAAGGTGCTCGAGCGACAGATGAAGCGGCTGCTGCTGCAGCAACGCGTATTCTGCAATCATAATAATGCCAAACAATCCCAAATGCTATCAGGATAATTTAGGATAGTGTGCTTCGGTTACCTATGATATTAATTGTCAAATAAAAAGGAGAAAAGGCATGAAATACAAACAGAAAGTTGATATGTAATACCTTTTGTGTACATCAATATATACATCAGTCTCATCTACAATTTCCTCCTGCACTCGTAAAAAAACAAGTCATAAAAGATGTGCAACCAAGGACCTATAAGTTACAAAATGCAGACATCTCTCGTTAACTTCAATTATAAATTTTGAAAATTGTTAAATTGACCCCCTAAGTCCAATGAATAGTGCAAGTGGGTCCCCTGACTGAAGGGGAAAAAAAAACCCTTCAATGAGGTACATTAAAATGGCCAAATAATGCAACTGGATCCTAATCTAAAACATTAAGCATGACTAGGCTAACATGTGGTGTTCTAATACTTGCATCTATCCCAAGTGTTTGAATTGTCTTTTAAGAACAGCCACCGGTTGTCAAACCTAAACAAGATAGCCATGGCTGTTGGAAAAAAAAAAAAAAAAAAAATCAATTTTTAAAAATATAGCAATGGTTGTGATATTGCTGATGGAGAAAGCCGCGGTTGTCAGAGTCCTGCATTTTAAGTTGTTTTTTTTTTGTTCAAAGATGTCCAATTCATCAAACCAAATCACCACCACATATGAAATAAGTACACATGGAAACATAGTTAATGCCACATTAGTGATAATCTACTGAATATGCCACATTAGGGTACCTCATTAGAGATTTTTTCGAATTAAGGGTTTAGGGTACCTCATTAGAGCTTTTTCAAATTAAGGGATCCCATTGCACTATTTATTGGAGTTAAAGAGGCCAATTTGACACTTTTTCCTATAAATTTCAGTAAATTCACTAGCATGAGTAGGAAAGGTTACTTGCAGAAGTTCTTCAAAAACATCTTCTAGAGTGATGATGCCAATGACTTCTCCATCATCAATATCCTCAGAAAGATCAGTATAATTATTTGTCACAACACCATTTTGCTGCAAAGACTTTTCTTTACTTGCTGTTTGCAGCAGCGAATCCTTATCAACATTTATCACAATACTATTTAATATTTGATCGTGCTTCTTCAACAGAGGAGCAGTTAATTGTGAATCCTCATTCCCAAGTTTGCTCTCTCGAATTTTCTCCTTTTCATGAAGAATAGGAGGGTTCTTATTCTTCCTTCTCACTTTCACTACAGCTGCCATGTGACTACTTCCCTTTTGAAACTCATTGAGAATATCATACAAGGGCATATCTGCTGGAACTCTGGAACGTTGGTGTATAAGAATTTAGAGAGTACATATGATTCTCCTTAAGAAATACAGAGTAAAACGGTAGAAATAAATTGGGAGGTGACAGACCTAGGAATCCTCCTGATGGAAACAGCACTAACAGGAGTCTCTGTCTCCGCTCGCACAGTAAGAAGATTTTTCACCTGTATTGCAGCAAAAAGAACACATGACAGTATTAATCCTCTAATCTGCAATTGGTAAACTAGATAATAGATGTCGTGGAATCTTGACCCTTGAATTTCATACAGACCAGTAGAAGTCCAATAATGTTCTTTGGATTCCCTGAATAAACAGGAACACGACTATGACCTCTGGCAAGAATTTTTCCTATTGCTTCCCTGTATTAGATAGATGATTTCAGACTTCCAGAAACCATGCCAGAAAACAGAAAAAAGGAAAAAGATAGGAGATGACGCAATGATGAAGATCTCTCTCTCCCCCTCTCCCTCCCAGAATTTTCCAAGTAATATGTCAAACTATGAGGTTCTCTTACTCTGATCTGAGATTTCCCCGTTCTTTACTTTTTGGGAGAAAAGCATAGGTTCATCATAAGAGCAAGATGAACATTCAAAACTTGAGAAGGTAGAACACCATGTATCATGTTGGTTATTACAGGTAAAGACACAAAAAAGAAATGGACAGTTTCCATAGGACACGTAAAAATCAGCACTCTTTTGCTAATGGACAAATGTAACATACAAGATAGGTTGAGAGGGAGATAGATATCTTGAAGAGATGGAAATCTTATGCATAAACGCACCAATCCAACTTTGAATTTACATCCAGGGAAAAGGTTGATTCAATAGGCGTCATAGCCTCCTCAGCAGTCTGCAAGTTTCAGAAAACAAGAAGTCACAATTCTCTACAATAAAAATACAAAGTTCTAAAGAGCACATAAAATTGACACTGAATTGGAGAAACAAGATTTATCTTTGAGAATAAGCATGAGATGGGGGTTGACCAGAGGCAGTTATAATTAGGGAGGAAAAGGTAACAGAAAAATCATGTGAGCTTGCTGTCTTTCTACTTATTACAAGTGAAAACACACCTACTTTTAAGTTCAAATTGTTCCAGCAGTGTCGAACTCTAAGTTCAAATTGTTCCACCAATGTCGGTTTAAAATTGTTTCCTTCTTATGTTTTATCTTAAAAGATTAACAACTGAAACAATTTAATACTTGAATGCATCCTTGCTAAAAGTAAAAAAGAGAGAGGATGGTGAAACAGAGAGTTAACATCCTCTCCATACAACAGGGTTAGTTGGGTGAGCTTAAATAATCTCACAATAAAATAATAGGATTGTTATATGGTAGAGGACATTCTCACATGGTTATTTTCTTTCGTGGGAGAAGTCCTGGAAATCTCTTCAATTTTGGCTATGTTCCAAAAGTGATATTTTGGTGACTCTCTCGGTTAATCAGACATGCCTCAAGATTCCTTGGCTTTATGCCTGATCCATCATGCATGTACCTACTTAAATAGGGCTTACTTTATCAGTGTTGGAATATACTTCTTAACAGCTAATTATTTTATCGTACCATTGCTTGTATATCTTGTTCTTATCTCACTATTTTTAACTAGCTCTATCTTATACTGTGACACCAAGGAGAGTCTCCTTGGTCAATTGATGCTAGAGTTTTTTATTTCTGTATATGCACTCTTTCACATCATTTTGTACAGCCTCGCTCTTGCTTTTGGGCTAAGGTGTCTGGAGTAATGTCCTAGGCCATATGCCACACATCATACATGTACTTATTTTGCTCGTCATTTATAAAACCCGGTAGGGGTGTACCTTGGCCATTCCTACCATTGGGTGGTTGCCCTTTCCGAGCAATAAATAAATAAGAAAGAGGAAACAGAGAGAAAGTGAACTTCAATGCATTGATTTTGCTAGACCTTTTCTGTCAAATCAAGTGCTCCACTAATGATCGTAGCTTCATCATGTGTTAGTTCACCGCCTTTACCAGCCTAGAGTAAAAGAAGAAAGAAGCCAGTAGTTTATGATGAGAAGAGCTCAGTTACAGCCTGAAAGTATCACAGTATTACTTAATCTCAGTAAATGCATAAGCTTTTTACTCTGAATAATGCACAAAAATTACCTCCTGGCTGTGGATAGAAACGAGGGCTTTAAGCTGAGCACGCCGGAATAAAGCATCATGATGTCCCAATACCAAGTCAAGAACCTGAATCACCACATCAACGTTACATGGATAAAAATCATGAATAAATCACCACATCAAGTCAAGAACCTTAATTTTCAATCAATGAATAAATATCATGAAAATGATCATTCACTTCCTCCAAATTATGCACAGTAACGTGCAATTTTGGATATGCGGGAAACTCTTCACTCTTGTCATGTTATTCAAAAGAAAGGAAAGAAACAAACAGATTTAATGCATTTTCCAGATGTAATAGCAAGAGATACATGAAATTTACCTTTCCGATAGGATAAGAAATTGGAAAGCAAATAATCATCAAAATACGCACGAGCCACACAAAGTTAGCACCAACAGCAAGTCCATATCTAGAGCATACTGCCTGTGGAATAATCTGAAGCGGCATATCTAAAACAAGTTAGTATAGTTTTAGAAAGACCTCTCTGCTTCCGAGGTGGAAAGAAATTCATCAATACCTCACCAAAAGCTAAAACAAAAGTTACAGAGAGAACAACAGCAACTACAGGATGAAAAAGTTTGTCCAAGTATATAGGAAGAGCCTGCAGAATCCATGTGAGAATGGGAATTGTATTAGTAAACCTCTGATTCAGTTGCGATATTGAAGCAACCCTTTTCTCAGGAAGAAAAAGGGAAATGTTCTAATCAATTTGATAAACTACACAAATGCCACTCCTAAATCATAAGGGTGATAGAGAGAAAGCACCTCCATGGCAGCAGCATTACACAAAAGCAAGGTGACAAGAAGCTGGTGCTGTTTTTGAACAACGGGCAGAATGATTGCTGAAAGCAAACAAGTCAACCATTAATTAATGAAACGGAGAGCCAGTTTAGAGCGGTTCAGTTCAAGAATGGCATATGAAACTGCAAAGATACACAAATAGGAGAAAAGGCTAACAAGAAGAAGAAGAAGAAGACTTAACAAAATTAGATTACGCCATTGATCAACCCTTACAGAAAAAGAACACATGCAATACAACAAACAGATGCAGTGCATAATTGAACCGAGCACATAGTATAACCTAAGTCTTTGCTCTAAATTGTGCAAAATTGAACAGAGAGAGCTCCACTCCATTAAACTGCCCGATAATCAACCCAATGTTTGTTTCGCGTATGTTAAAATCACTGAACGCACCGCCACAGTAACATTACACAAGTAGCGAAAGCTAAAAAGCGCAGAGAAGAAAGAGGAGAAGCACCCCACCGGCTTGTTTCTTCTCGGAGGAAGTACCGCTGCGCTGGAGAATCTCGAGGTCGACGAGGCCGAGAGACATCAAGCCTAAAGTGAGGCCGGACATGATACCGGCGAAGAGTACGAGGAGGCAAGAAACGCCGGCGTAAACGAACCACCAGGGGTTCCCGAACGCGATGTCCTGAGAATCCACCACGAAAGAACTCCTCGCGGTGGCGTTAATAGCCAGGGCCATAGCTAGGGCGTTGGCTAACATCCCCATGGAGGAGAGAGGTCCAGTGCGGTGCTTCCTTCTCGGCTCTCTCCTCTCCGCTCCGGTTGAAGTTGACTATAGAGAACTTCGTTTTGGTTTTGCATTAACCTATACACACCTACTAGAGCTTTCAAAACGTGAAAGACTAGGGGGTAGTTGTAGCTGACGTACGGCATGAAGAGTGAAGACACGGACTATATCGCCTGTACAACGATGTAACCTTAAATTAATTCATACTTTGACAAACCGTCCCCATATGTTTGTTTGCATTTAAGGATTAAGGAAAATCTCACTTCTTCTTTTTTTTCCTTTTAACACAATATTATATAATGTTTTTGAGAAAATTTTAATTTTGGTTCACTGAGTATTAGAGTTATGTTAGTTACAACACTTAATTTTTAAAAATGCTAATTTAGTACCTTGGTTATGTAATTACTATCAATTTTGATCACGCCAGCTAAATCTCACCAAAAAAATTTAATAGATCAACTAATAAGAGTATTTTAATCATTTTACTCATCTTTTTTTTCTTCTCCGATGAGCTTTTCTCCATTTCCAGCGACGATTTCTTCTCCGATGACTTGGGTTAAGTTCAATATCTTATATCTCCAGTAGTACATATGTAAATTAAGGTAAATTATTTGATATATATTGTTGATGATATTATTTATACTATTATCAGTGGCAAATTATGTTGTGGAACGGTGTCCACTTTGCAAGGTGGACACGGTTTCAAAATTGTTCATAATTATGAATATATAGCTTAAAAATTATGAACATATAGTTCTATAATTATGAACATAGAGTTGTGAATATAATTATGAACATATAATTCTGTAATTATGAATATAGAGATTCAATAATTGTGAATATGAAGTTCAAAAATTATGAATATATAGCTTTATAATTATGGACATATAGTTAAGTAATTATGAACATAGAGTTCTGTAATTATGAATATAAAATTCAATAATTATGAATGTGAAGTTCAAAAATTATGAAGATAAAATCATGTTCACCTTGCAAAGTGGACACGGTTCCACAACATAACGATTGACCCTCCAAGGCTCCAATGAGGCATGGGCCTTAGATCATTCCCATTAGGGGGGTTTAGGTTCAATTTTTGAGGTAAATTGAGTAAGGTGGAAGAAAGAGAGTGAAGAGAGAGAGAGAGTTGGATTCTCCTAAAAAAATTGGATTTTTGCAGTGAGTGGCCCCTACCATGGGGTTTATTTTTTGGCTGGTGAGACTCGATCCCTAGTCATTTTTCTAAAATTTTACCTCTGCGACCAATTGAGCTGCCCATGCGAATTTCATAATTACACATGTAAAAACTCCTCAAAAACCACACAGTATTGAGATTGCTCTTACAAATATCCTACTGATATTGAATATTTGGCAAGGTACAATATTAAATAATGCATGCATAAAAAATTATATCATGTGTGTCATGCTGAGCCAGAAAATTACAACTTGCGACATAAGAATCATTTAACGAATTACGGATAATATAATAAGCCGAAAAATATAATATAATACAGCTACATAATTAAAATTGTAAAAGATAGTCACCACTTGGTACTTTAATGTCAACTGACCCAATAAGAATTGCCTTAAAAAAAAGGTTTAACAAATTTAATGAGCATAGATTGCTAATGACCTTGTAGTCAAGTGGCACGAAGTGACTCTTTTATATGAGAGGTTATGGGTTTGAGTTTTAGTGGGGTGAAAGTAGTTACGAACAGAGTCAGTAGTAATAAAAAATATTTTATTTATAAATTTATCACTAATTTGTTTTTGTGGTCAAGAAATTTAATAGTTATGCTAGTAACCCTATAGATAACTATTGGAAGGCAATTGTTTTTGTGGTCAATAAATTTAATAGATATGCTATTAACTCTATTGATTTGTTTTTGTGGTCAATAAAGTTTTTGTGGTCAAGAAATATAGTAGTTATGCTAGTAACCCTATTGATAAATATTGGAAGGCAATTGTTTTTGTCGTCAATAAATTTAGTAGATATGCTATTAACTCTATTGATTTGTTTTTGTGGTCAATAAGTTTAGTAGATATGCTATTAACCCTATTGATAACTATTAGAAGGCAATAGTAATCAAGAGTGATGAGATGTTTAACGTATACTCATGACATTGGACTGCACTATACAAGATATTCGGTTGTACTAGAAGGTTATAATAATGCTAATTTGATATAAGATATTAAGGACTCTAAGTTCATTAGTGGCTACATGTTCACATTAGCTAGTGCAATTGTATCATGGAAATCTCCAAAGCAAACCATGATACTTATATATCTATGATGATGAAATTTGAGTTGATAGCATTGGACACTTGTAGTGAAAAAGTTGAATGATTGTACAATTTCTAGAGGATATTCCTATTTAAAAAAAAAAAAAAAAAAACAACAAAAAATATACACCTCTAATTTGTATACGTTACGATAGTCAAGCTACAATTGGAAGGATACAAAGTAATATGTATACTAATAAATCTAAACATATATGTCGTAAACATAATAACATTAACCAACTTCTCACAACGGGAGTTATCTCTATTGCTTCGACGAAAATCCAAACTCTTAAAAAAGAGAGAAAGACTAGAAAGAACTCTCAATTCATTATTCATTCCCTTCTTCATATTCATAGGTAGATATATACATGATCACAAAAATTACCCATTACCCACCGTTTTTAATGTGTATTGTAATTACCTTTGAAATGTATGGCCATTCCACTATCTACTCTAAAAACATAATAAATCTCAATCAAAGTTATATCCTTAATTTATGTCTATATTTTTGTTGCTAAACATTTTGTACATTATGCTTTTAGAGTTGTACTATATTTTTTTTTGGACAAAGATACTCCTACCATTATAACTTCCGTTATCTTTTTCATTACTGTTACTATGCACATGCATCCATCATATATTTTTGAATGATAATAATATTTGTAGACATTATATATTGGATTAATATAATAAATAAATTTGATTTTATAGATACAGATTTTAGGGGGGTTGTATTCAATCATGACTTTCATAGAATTTTAAAGACTTTTATGAACTTTAAAAGTTTGGAGGTATTCAATTCAAACTTTTAGAGAGTCTTTAAAAGTCAGGTGATATTCAATCAAGATTTTTAAAAAGTTTTTAAAAGTCGTGTGATATTCGATTAAGACTTTTAAAAAGTCTTTAAAAGTTATGTGATATTCAAAAAGTTATAAACTTTTGTAGACTTTTGATTTTTAGACTTTTGTAGACTTTTCATTCTCAAATATAAATAGTTGAAATCCAACCATCAACCCTAAGATTTCAAATTTTCTTTCTAACAACTTTGAATGTTTTTTTTCTCTATTTAAACTCTATTTTTTCTCCCTATTTAAACTCTATAAACCTATCTAAATTCAATAAAATTATTTTTTTCTTCATTATCCTATATTTTCCTCATACCTAAACTCTACCAATTTTTCTCTCCCTTATAAACTTTAGAATCTTCATCTAAAAATTTGAAATATTATTAGTTTTACTTCATTATTGCTTGTTTATATTGATTTTTATTTTTTTCTATATATGAATTTTTATCCCTAACTTTCTCTAATTCTTCCTAAATACATGAACAAAGTAAAATTTTCATCGTCAAATTTTAGTATATGTTTCATAATATTCATATAAATACTTATATATTTTGATTTTTATTATTTTTATGTTTATATTCGTAATATATATTTTTCATTTAAAAAAAAAAAACAGGTTACTACGAATAGCGAATTACTGTTCGCAACAATAATTTGGGGTTGCAAACAGTAGCACCTTGTTGTTGTTTGCAGTCTCAAATTGCTATTGTAAATAATAGTTATTTGCGTAATGCGTAGCAATATATCGTATAATTATATATATATATATATATATATATATATATTAGATTTTTATTTTTTTACTTTATGTAACTTGTAATTATATTTTTAAATATTTTATTTGATCAAATATTATAAATTTTATTGTTCAGTATTGTTATGAATTTCTAATGAAATAGTTTTTTTTTTTTTTTTTTGGAAAAAATGTCAAATAGGCCCTTGAACTTTAGCTTAAATGTCAATTAGGTCCTTAAACTTTTTAAAGGTGTAATTACACCCATCAACAATTCATTTAGGTGCAATGAAACCCATGAAGCGCAAAAACAAGTTAATGACCTGCTATCATAGGTCATTAGGGTTCAGGCCACCTTCCGACGAATTTTTCGACAAAAAAATGTGACCAGCAACCGACCTAGATTTGTCGAAAATTTCGCCGGTCACTTCTTTTGTCAAAAATTTCGCCGATCGCTTTTTTCTTTTTCTTTTTTTTTTGCCGGAAAATTCGTTAGAAGGTGGCCTGAATCCTAATGACCTGTGATAGCATGTCATTAATTTGTTTTTGGGCTTCATTGCACTTAAATGAATTGTTGATGGGTGTAATTGCACATTTAAAAAGTTTAGGAGCCTAATTGACTTTTAAGCTAAAGTTCGAAAGCCTATTTGACATTTTTTCCTTTTTTTTTTTTTTTTGATGTTTATTAATAATATATAGGGAAAACGACGCTTTTGGCCTCTGAATTGTTTTACTATTGAAAATTTGGTCCCTGTCAATTGATTTGAGCAAACTTAGTCCTTCAATTGTTCATTATGTAATACATTTAATCCCTGATGCTATATAATTAAAAAATTTATTAATAAAATTTATTTTATAAGATTATAATTGTCAATTATTACCTTATAAAATAAATTTTAATAATAAAATTTGTAATTATATAGCATCAGGGACTAAATGTGTCACATTATGAACAATTGAAGGACTAAGTTTGTTCAAATCAATTGATAGGGACTAAATTTTCAATAGTAAAACAATTCAGGGGCCAAAAGTGTCGTTTTCTCTAATATATAAGTAAAATTAGCATATAATCTCAGCATATTATGGATAAAAATAATAATGTTGAGACTGTTGATGTGGGTTAAGAACTATGTAATAAGAAGAATTTTATGATAATAAATGTTTTGTAAGAAAATTGTAATGATAAGAATCAAAATCATTGAAAGTTTGTAAGGATGTATTTAATTTAGAATTTCAATGATTTTTGTAGACTTTTTAAAATAAAAAGTTGATAAAAGTCTATGAATGTTTTTTATATATACTTTTATAGAGTCTTATAAAGTTTTAAAAAGTTCGAACGACTCTATTCAAATCAATCAAAGTTTATTGAAATCTATCATTTTAAAAGTCTTTAAAACTATACAAAAGTCATGATTAAATACAATTAATTAGTAAAAATTTGTAATTATTTTGTAAAATATAAATATTAGACATATGTTATTTTGTAATGGCATTGAAAAGACTAGTTATTATTATTATTATTATTATTATATAATATATAATATATATAATATAATAATAATAATGAATTAATGATGGTGGAGCATGGGTGTATCATAAAACTTCTAGTATATTATGGAAAATACTTGATGTACTTCCATTTTATATTCCCTCTCACATGTTTTTGATGTAGACATGAACCTACATGTTGAAGATAACCAATCTTGGTTTGTCACCTCTGAAAGTACAAATGAGGGAGTAGAATTTGAGAGTACATGTAGTAGAACTCTGAATATTATGCCAAATAAGTCAGATTGTTCAGGATAACAGAACAATGACTCAACGAGCGCGAATGCTTCCGAACTTCTGACACTGAAGAAGCAGCATAATAGTGATAAGATCTGGAGAAAAAAAAAAAAAAAGATTGTGCTTTTTTTTTTTTTTTTTTTTTTTTTTTGGAAAGAAGATTGTGCTAAAGAGCAAGTCATGCACATATGCAGAAATGAATTTTCGATCTTGAAAATAGAGGAAAACTAGAAAAAGATTAGGGCTAAAATGGGCTGCAGAGGCTGCAATTCTGCAAAGAAAAACCCAAAACCTTGAGCAATCAATCTTCTATGAACACGGATCAGTATATTGCTTCATATATTTTTGGCAATGCTCTTTTACGCACGTAATATATGCTCCCATTTAAGCCCTAGAACCCGACGACCCGGAGCTTCGATTCAATTCGCCGCCTCTATAACAAGCCTCAAAGTTGCCTGGCGCAAGGACCGGAAGCTAGACCAAGCAATCGAGAACGATAAACAATGGAGACTCTGCGCAAGGGTAGTGAGGGAGGTGCTAAACGAACCTGGTCAGGTAATCCCTCTCCGATATTTAGAGAAACGGCGCGAGCGGCTCCGTTTGCGCGTAGGAGTTACAACTTTTCTTGCCCAAAACCCTGGATTGTTCGATACCTATATGGATCGCATCCGACCCAAATCCAATCCCGTCCCGTTCCTACGCCCTAGCAATTGGCTTCGCCAATTCATGGAACAGGAAAACAGAATTTATATTCAAAATGAGAACTTGCTGGTTTCTAAGTTATGTAAATTGCTGATGATGGCTAAAGATAGAGTGGTAAGTGCAGATAAATTGTTAGAGGTGAAGAGAGAATTTGGTTTTCCGAATGACTTTTTGGTTAATTTGGTGCCTAAATATCCAGAGTATTTCCGATTGGTTGGGTCTCCAGGAGAGGGGAAATCGTTCTTGCAATTGGTTTCTTGGAATGATGATTTTGGCAAGTCAGTAATTGAGCAGAGAGCAGAGGAAGAATCGAGGTTAACCGGAATACGAATTATGCCAGCGTTTAACTGGACACTTCCTCCTGGCTTTTGCATTAAGCAGGAAATGAGGGAGTGGATTAGAGATTGGATGGAGTTGGCGTATATATCGCCCTACACCGATGTTTCGCACTTGGAGCAAGCATCGAGAGAAATGGAGAAGAGGACTGTAGGCGTTTTCCATGAGTTGCTTTCTCTTTCTTTATACAAGAGGATTCCTATTCCCATTTTGGGGAAGTTTGGGGAGGAGTATAGGTTTTCGAATGCATTTCCCAATTTGTTCACTAGGCATCCGGGGATTTTTTACGTGTCATTGAAGGCCGGGATCAAGACTGCAATGCTGAGGGAAGCATACAAGGCCGATGAACTGATTGATCGAGACCCACTTCTCGAGATTAAAGATAAATTCCTGGAGTTGCTGGCTGAGGGACATAAAAAGAAGTATGAGCAGCTGAGATTACAGAGAGAAATGATTCGGGAAGATATGAACTTCATAGCAGCAAGGAGTGCAATAGTAGATGATCATGGAGACGATTAGGAGCAGTGAGAAATTGTAAGGACCATGGAATTCAACTGAGAAAGCTGCTCTTAAATGCATGCCAAGCTGATCAGAGAATGTTTTCATTGCCTTGTAAGTTGATAGCATTGCTTACAGAGTGTCTGATCATGTTCAACGTGCTGCAAAATAGGTTGTTTTATGCTACAATTTTTTTTTTAAAAATGTTATAGGTATATTTTGTGCTAGATTAATGTGAATTGTGTCTGGTGAGAGGTGGTTTTTCCAGTGTTGCATCCTAAATAGATACCCTGCATTTTTTACTTCTAACAAGTGTTTATATCTAATGTTGTGTGTACTTGTGCAAATTCGAAATTCTTGTTTGTGATAAGTGGCAACATAAATTCTCTTTTGGTCAAAAGCTTTTAAATTCCTCAAGTCTGGGACAGCTAAAGCTTAAACTAAACTATCTGTCACAAATTTAATGTGTCATTTCTACCATTAACCTAATAAACTCAGCTCCAAGCACAAACCGGAACCACCTTCTTTTGCTTTCCTACTTTCTTTTCTCAACTTACCCAAGTAGAGAGCAGAAAATGCCTATGATTTATGAATGAACTTGTATTTAACCAGAAGTACTAACTGTTTGTTGGTTACTTGGTGCATGTTCTTGCAGGCATAACAAGCATGGATGGAAGCAATATCCACAAAGTAGCCTTCTTTTTAGCGTTGCTGGTGCTTTGCCCCATGACCGAGAGCCTTTGGAAAGCCGTTGGCCCTCTTTGCGCATCACAGTTAACACTTGTTAACCATGCATGTTCATTTCTGGCATTGGGGAACCCTTCACCTTCTCACCCCTCGCTCGTCTCTGCTAGACAAGCTCCTAGCGCAAACCGTACAGATGGACGACACAGGCACAGCCATGGGTCGCAACACGCCAGCAGGAGGCATCGTGGTCGTCATCATAAACACCACGACAATCCCGAAGAAGAGATTTGCTGCAGATGGCTGAGAGAAGTTGACGATGTGTGCGTATGTCAATTGCTTGCTCACTTGCCCGCCTTCCTCTCTAGGCCCGTCCACGAATACACTGTCAACGTTGGTGAAACATGCGACGAGAGCTTCCTATGTGGTTCATGGATCAAAATCAACGATTGAAAACGTTTTATGATGATCTCCATACGATGTTTTTTAAGGTGTGGTAGAAAATATTCATGTGTTTATGTTTTGCAGTTTGATAAGTGTGTCATGCTCCAAGTAGAATTAAAACACTATACTTTCATATGTTGATTTTGGTTATGAATTGTGATGTTCTTGTGCAGAAGTTTATGAATCAAGCATTTTTCTCTTTTCTTTCTTTATTTTGTTATCTTTGTTTTTGTACAAACCAAATCGGAAAGTTTTGAAATTTTGTAAAAATGGATACAAAGCGAGAAGAAGAGTTCTTGATCTTCATCCTCTAATTACTACTCCGTAATTGATTTCTCACGGCCTTATAGAGGTAAGGTTGTATCTATGTCTTTAAAACTTGATATCAGTGTAATCACAAAATTTCATGTTATAATTAAAATGTCCGTTACGATGATGAAAGGTAAAGAACAAGAAAGTCTACCGTTTCATAATTAAGGAGTGAATTAATGATAAATAATTACATAGTTGTTTCAATGTTACAAAACTAATTATAATGTCCACAATAATTATAATATTTATAACACTTCACTTGGACATTATTTAACCACGATCAAATCTAGACAAGAAAATAGTGCCAGATATATGAGTAATTATTTAAATATATTCCTGCCTTGTTAAAAATTTCATTAGGAAAATCACGTGGAAAAAAATCTAAGGAAAAAAGTACATGATATTTGTGAAATCATATGTTGCATTGGAATACCATGTGGGAAAAACTTAGTTAAGAGAAAAAGGTAAACATTCAGGGTTTAACCTTCAAGATTTTCATGAGTAGCATTTATAACATTACTTATTGACCAATGAATCAATTGTACTTGGTACCTAGATTTTGTTCTTCCTTCCTGAAGACAACAATCTTCCTGGCCTACACTAGGTTAGTAAATAGATTTGCTAGATTGTATCTGAATCTCTTGAACAAATATTTTACCACTCCTTTGGAGTTCATGTGGGTAGAGGAATTTTCGTATTAGGTACAATTAACTATGTTTTAAATTGTACCAAGTATTATAACTCATGTTCATTTGATCGGTACAATATCTTCAAATGTTCTTCCTTCGCTTGCTACTACTACTTTCCTCATCTTATTCCTAACTTATCAGTGGTCATTTCACATCCACGACAAAGCAAACGTACTATAAGTAGTAAAGCAATGACAAGATGATAATGTGGTGCATCAATATAGACAAAGCACATTTTATAATGGAACCAACTCATCTATTAATAAACCGAGTAAACATCTAATAAACCAAGTATGCATCAATATAGACAAAGCACATTTTTTAATAGAACCAACACATCTGTCAATAAACCGAGTAAACATCTAATAAACCAAGTATACACAGATTCCTTTTATTAAGTTTAAAATGTTCAAAGCCTAAATTGGTTCATGACATACCCACTATTTATTTATGCAACATGTGTTGTAATGTACTCATATATGACAATAGAAGTAATATATATACTTGGTTCGTCACACAAAAGGTTTCATATAAAGTGTTAAACTTTGTGTGGTTTAGAGGCCAGGTAATAATCGTAGTGTACTTAATATATACTCTTATAAAATGTCAATATCACAATAAAAGAAAATACATAGCTAGTTGAGAAATGATCTTATGCAGTCAGCGTATTTTTTTAATCCCTCATTATGAGCTTTATGTATTTGATAGCCCTTGACGATACGCTACGGTGGTGATATACGAATAAGAAAGGGCTGCATACTAATACTTAAAAGCTTAACGTAGGGAACAATACGATTTTAGACCACGTAATATATGTTTTTTATATGTAGTGATTCATATTTGGATAAACATAGTAGTATCTAAAAATTGGAGGTCCCCAAATAGATAAGTTTTTGTCCATAAACACTTAATTTGCCACCCGAGCAAAGCTACATTACAATTTTAGGTTTAGAGCTTATCAAACAAAAAATGATATTTATTGCCTATAACAAAATAATTTTTGTCATAAGAGAAAATCAAATGTTCTCTTTAAAATTATGCATCAATTGGATTCATACCTGATATGACATAGTGATTATCAGGTTTTAATCATGATAAAAATAGTCTTCAGGCAGATACATATGAATGATATGATCACATGTATATAATAGCCAATATCAGATAAGTACAAAATAATACCTTTACAAAAACATTTATCTAGTTTCTTTCCATGATGTTTGCTCGACAATTTTATGGCTACCGCAGGATCATTGGATTTATTCTTTTCTGGTGTTGGTAATTGCATCTTATGCCAATGTCGACATATTGTTTGCTCGACGGTTTTATGCCAATGAGTTTGCATTATCATTACTCCCTAGCTGCTCCGCTACGCTTGAAGCTCGGGAGTAAGGGGCCGATGACAGGATAATTGGACAGGTACTGGACCCAACTCGAAGCACCATTGAACTAACCCAAAGTAGTGAAAGTAAACTGTCAAAGCAATTAACATTGTAAATAACGGTTAGGACTTCGAGACGATTCCCAAAGTCTAAATGCACTTAGTAGTGCACTGCCTCATCAAAGAGCAGTAGTTATGAAGGAGAGCGCACAACAATTACTAAAGAGTAGCAATATTTATTGAAGGGAACCATTGTGTCATATTATAACCGTTATATTTAGTAGTCAATTATCTAGTATAAAATTGAGCTTGTGATAACGGGGAGTAGTAGTCAATTATCTAGTATAAAATTGAGCTTGTGACGACGGGACACGCTTAAATTCTTGTACTTCAAAAATATAGCAATGTAAAAGATTATTGTATAAATATACTCCGGTAACACATTTATTGTGATTATATATATATGATAAATAAATTTTGTGATAACCCAAAAAATCAACAGTTAAACAGCTGTCCTTACGTATTGGAGCGATGTCCATATATTTGTAGCTTACCAAAATTTAAGGCCCAAATAAGGGATAAAGAAATCCGTCACGGCATATTCTTCTGCATTTGCTGCTAGTCTTGCAATTTAAGGTCCTGTTTGGCTGCCATCTTCTTCGCTACGCATCTTCTTCCTCTGACATTCAACCACCATTTTCTCTCTTGCTTTCCTCTTCCGATCTGTCTCACCTGATTCTAAAGAGACAATCTTTATTCTCCTCAGAAGTCAAAATTCAAACAAGCATGGCGACCCCTGAAGTCTTGCAGAGAGAAGATCTCATCTTCTCGACCCTCTTTGACAATCCCAAAGGTTCAATTCTCACCCAAATCTCTCCAATTCCGTTCTTTCATCTGCGTGCTAATGTGTTAAGTGTTCTGGATTTTGTTGTTGCTGATTTTTATCGGTACTTGTTTAATTACTTCAATGGACTAAGAATTTCAATGCCCATTCTTATTCATTCTGTTTTCAATTGTGTAATGGACCTGCGGTTTCTCGTCTTATTCGATATAGATCTGCGGTTGCTATTTCTAATCCATTTCAGGATGTTCTATAAGAATGAGTAATTTTTCTCTCGGGATGGATTGCAGGAGAAAATGTGAAGTCCCGAGGGTTTGCTATTGAGAAGAAGATTGAGTTACTTGAAAACTTGGCTGGAAAAGTAATTTTCTCAAACTTCTTTATATGAGATTTTAGAAGGGACGGGATTGCTTAACATAATAATACTCCGTAACTTTTCTTAGCCAAAGTTGAATATTTTTATAATTTATGCTTTGGACTTTAAACTTTTTGAGAGTTTTGTCTTTACTTCGTCTATCATCTTTTAGCAAATGACCAATTCATGGTGCAATTTAGCCTGTGGCAGTCAAGATCATAACTTTGTTCTTAACCTATCTATCTATGAATGGCTAATGGGACAAGAATCACAAGATTAATATTGAGTTTTACTGTGTTATATTGGGTGGTCAAGGTGACTGACTATAAGATTTTGCCAACTTAAAGTTTGAGGCTTTCTTGCCTGATGTTTGTCAATGTAAACCAGTAGATGTTGTATTTCTCTATCCTTCTCCTAGTTGGGATAATTGACTAGTTTCTGTTGAAGCCATTAAGTATTTGCATCTGGTATTGAAGGGTTAAACATAGATTTGAATTGTGCTGTTAAGAAGGGAGAAATGGACAAATGGTAGTGAGTATTAGAATTACCATGGTGGCAACTGTAGTTCGAAAAGTTAATATGCCAAAGATTTCGTGTTTCATATAATGTTTCTTTGGCAATTATTGATGCCAAGGCTTAATATTCATCTCAGGTCAGCAACCGAAGATCTCGCAGATGGTTGAATGACCGTCTACTGATGGAATTGGTTCCTCGCTTGAATGCTGAAGAAATTAGAGGGTTGTTTGCTCCGCCACCTTTTGGTAAACTATATCCTTCATTGGTTTCCTTTCCAATATTATGTTGTCACGCCATAAATTTAACGTCTGTCTAGTCCATCATACTTAATACTGTTGTTGTTTTATATTACTAAACTTATATTAACTTCGTAATTCACAGGTGATGATGTGCCTCTCTCACCATTTTGCATGACAAATCTTGGAGAGTGGGACAAGTTCAGGAACATTGACATGGATAAAGAGGTTATTTGCTCCTTTTGAGATGCATATTTCACATGTTGACATATTTATTTATTTATTTTTAAATTTTATTTAATTTTTGTTGTTTTTGACCTTATGTAATTCTTAAGTTGGACGAAAGTATTTATTATACTGAAAGTGTGACAAATGCATGCCTCCTTGTATAAATCTGTGTGTGGATTTTCTTGGTTATTTATCCACATTATGTCTTGCTTTGCTGGTAATATGTGTATGCCATTTTTGCTGACATCCTTTACATTCGTTTTGCCTATTCTTCTTTTGGTTAGGCTACCATGATGAAGGCCCTTGAAAGTTCAGTGTCAAAGCGGAAAAGTTGCACTATTAATAATGATAAGGCTGCAGTATTAACCGCATGGCATAGAGTGGATTGTCGAACAAGAGAGGCACTTCGCCGTAACTTTCTTCCAGAACTCATCAATAATTATGAGGTAATTTTCAGTATCATGTGTCATATAAATTATCTACTATTTTTGTTGATACTGAATTTTAAAGTCCAAGTGTTTAGGAGCTTTGTGGTTGTTAATTGTATACACATGCAAGTAAATATGAAATAAAATATTTATGCAACTGATTTACATTCTGAATCACCTTGTTATGCTCCAAGTGTCCAAGTATTTTTACTCTTTTCAATTTTTAATGTACTTTTGCTTTTGTTATTTTTCAATGATGACACTAAAATTACGGGTTTTTTAGGAATGTCTTCGAACTTTTATCAAAGATAGTGGTGATGGGGATGTGCTGGACCTTTCTGTTCAAGATCCTTTCCATCGTTTGTTATTGCATGGTGTTTGTGAGGTAAAAACGATTTTGTCTATCTTTTACTTTCCAGTATATTGTCTATGGCATTCAAGATTAGGCAGGCTGTTAATTTAGGGTATAAAATGAAAGCTCTGCATTTGTCATACTGCAACTACGCATTGTAAGATTTTAGGTTTTTTGGTTAGACCACGAGGTGTCCTAAATAGTCTCTAACTATAAGAGACACCTTTAAGCTTGTACCATACTCATACTAATCCCCGCTCGCCGCCATCCAATTAAGAGGCAAAGTGCTGACCATATTGGTTTTTCCACACGATCGAGATTTTGAACTTTTGCCTTATATAGTTCCTTGCTTAACAACTCTTTACTGTTTACAGTACTACAACTTGATCTCGGTGACGGTTGTCACACAAACAAAAGGGACTGGGACGGGGGCGGTGAAGATCACAAAGATAAAGAAGAAGAAGGCGGGTTATAGTGAACTACCGAACATTACCCTCTGCAACTTTCTGAAAATGTCGAAAGAAGGGATTTGGTGATTAGGCTCCACTGGGTCCCTCTCTTGTAACATTAGTTAACCGTGCATTAAGTTTTTCTTGATTTAGACACAAAAGTGTTACCAGTATCTTTATTTCTGTAACCAATGCAGTGTACTAATAATGCATTGACTAGCTTTAATTCCTGGAAATTTCTTGTTTCCATGTGAAATAGGGAGAGTCAAGGATGGCAGTAATGGATTATGTAAATAATGAAGACATGTTAGATTTTCTTGTTTTCTTCAGCTAGCTGCAAGCTAGCTCTGTTGTTTCTGTTTATAGTTTTATTACAATGGCTAAACAAATATTTATACTGTTAGTATATGGATTTCAGTATTGAAGTTGCAACTTGCATTGCAAGAATGAAGGGATGAGCCTTTTTCTTGTTCCTAATTTTCAGCTAATGGTGTGTTTGGAAACCTGAAATATGTTTTCCAGAAAATGCGTCATTTTTAGAAAATATTTTCATTTTTAGTGTTTGGTTGCATTTTAGAAAAATTGTCTTAGTGTGTTTGAACCATTTTTCAGAAAATGAGCAAAATTGTATTTTTTTAAAAAAAAAAACTTGTTTTCGACTTTGGAAATCAGATCATTTGGTTTCCGGCTTTGGAAACCAAATACTAGTTTCTGTCGAAAACCAGATTTCTGAATTTTGACGGAAACCAACGAAGAAGATGGAGAACATGAAAGAAGTTGTTGAGTTTTTTTTTAATTTAAAAAATGACTTTCTCCCCCCCCCCCCCAAAAAAAGAAGAAGTTATTTTTCAAAAATATTGAATTGTTTTCCCTTTGATTGAAAATCAATTTTCGTTGATCATCATTTCTCCCTTTGTCAAACACTAAAAATTCGGAAAATGATTTTTAAATTCATTTTCTAGATTTTCCAGATTTTCATAGACACAACCTAAAACTACAAAACTTGCATTTCTTCCCTCTTCCTTATCATTGATTACTTATAAGTCAGTGATTAGTATAAATTCTTCAACATGTCTAAAAATATTTTTAGAACAAAAATATATTGTGCACCTGTAATTGCAATTTTCATAATTATGGATCAATAATAGTCAAAATAAGACTAGTGATTAGTTATATTAGAAGTAAATTAGGAGTTGTGAGTTGACCCCTCAAACTCAAATGTTGTGAAATGTGAACCACACAGTTGCGTAAAAATCTGATTTGGTAAACTCACTCATCTTCTCGATCTATATTCCCGGGCGGTTGTCTACTAAGCTAAGCCTTTCTTCAGTCTTCAATGGCGAAGAAGCCTGTGAAATACTGTGTGGTAATTTGAATTTCAATGTTTTTACCCCTCCAGGCTACTCCGATCCGCATTCATTTCACACTGGTAATTTTGTGGACAGGTGGATGCGTTTACAGACTCGGCTTTCAAAGGAAACCCCGCTGCTGTTTGTTTGTTAGAGGAAGAAGAAGACAGAAGCGATGAATGGCTACAAGCTGTTGCTCGGGAGTTCAACATCTCCGAGACTTGTTACCTAACTCCGATCACTCATTCCGGCAACGCTTTGCTCGATCCTACTGCCACTCCCCATCCCAAGTTCCGTCTTCGCTGGTTCACTCCCGTGGCTGAGGTCAATCACTCAATCCATCCACCTTTCATTTACTCCCCAAATCAATGGATAAACTTGCTATTGAATTGTGCTTTGTTTGATATGAATAATGATGGCATTCCAATATTTAACTGAATGTGTAATAATAACAATCATTACACTCTTTAAATGCACAATGACAAATCTGTTAGGATACTGCGCCAAAAGTTATAGCTCACATAATTCTCCATCACGGGTCAGTTTTTTACTCTTGCTGGAACTTGAACCTTGTAGAGGTATGGTGCTGGACTTAGCCCTGCCCAATAAGTCACATAATCCTCCCTCCCAGCACGGGCCAATCTTAACTGCACACAGGGTGTTGGACTTGGACATGATCCTCCCTTCCTCAATCTTAACTGCACAGTTCTTTGCTTTTGCTTGTGACCTGGCTCTCATACTATTGTTAGGATCAACCGATCAAGCGCCTACTACTATGCCAAAAGTTATACCTCACATAATCTTCCATCCCATCACTGGTCAATCTTAACTGCACAGTTTTTTGCTCTTGCTGGAACTCAAACCTTCTAGAGGTATGGTGCTGGACTTAGCCCTATCCAATAAGTCACATAATCCTCCCTCCCAGCACGGGCCAATCTTAACTGCACAGTTTTTTGCACCCTCGAGACGTAGGGTGTTTGACTTGGCCATGATCCTCCCTCCCCCCATCTTAACTGCACAGTTTTTGCTTTTGCTCGTGATCTGGCTCTGATACTATTGTTAGGATCAAGTGCCTATTACTATGCCAAAAGCTATAGCTCACAGTGTAGGGTCAAGTGCCTATTACTATGCCAAAAGCTATAGCTCACAGTGAATGCGCAACTTTATTTTCTTCTTTATATACCACCACCACATTTTCGAGAGGGGTGCTGGACTTGCCCCTTCACCGGCCTCCACCCAACAAAATTAATGTTAAATCTCCATCTGCAAATTATAATAATCAAATAAAAAACTTCAAAGAAACAAGGGCTAAATACCCTGAACCAGTTTATTTTGAACCTCTTATGGGAAGATACTGAGTGAATTGCTCTTCTGAGAACTTGTTAATTAAGTTGAGTTTTGAAGAAAGAACTACTCCAGGAGTAAGATGAGAATTATTGGCTAGGTGGAGCTTTAGCCAAAACTTGAGTTTTCTTGTATCTTCAGGGTTAAAGCATGTTCTAGCTGGACTATGTTCAATAATTTTCTGCTGGTCTATTTATTAGTATGTAAGAAGTAGTACTTCTTTATTTCTTGTATGGTTTATAAGATTGGCATATTGGCTTTGTCCTCTTTGAGACATATATTTGTTGACTTAATTGAGTATATGACAATAATGTGATTTGATTGCAAAATTTTTAACTGATTGTAGGTAGATCTATGTGGACATGCAACTCTGGCAGCTGCGTATTTCCTATTTCTTTATGGTTTCGTCAAAACTGATATCATCGAGTTCTTGACCCTATCTGGGATTTTGACTGCCAGAAGAGTGCCAGACAAGAAAGAAGGCTTCTTTGTTGAGTTAAATTTTCCAATTGTCCATGTCTTGGAGACCAACTATGCTGCGATTCCACCAATCTCAAAGGACTTTAACAAAGCATCTGTGGTTGAGATCAATAAGACTGACAAGGATGACCTCTTTGTACGCCTTTCATTTTTGTTATGTTGCACTTCATATCTACAATACTTCTTGCGTTTGCTTCCAAAAAAAAAAAAAATCTACAATACTTCTTGCGGTTGACTCAAGTGAATCCAGGTTGCATATCCAACCTATGGAAGTTTCAATTAGTAAATTAAAATTGAAATTATGAACCAAAGAGCTGTACTCTTGCAATATGAGTTGATTTTGTGAAAAAAAGATCATCATGCATGAGAAGGAATAATCAAGTGACAAGATTTAGTTTCCACTAAAGATAGTTATTCTGGTTTTATATTTTGGCAGGTTGTGCTTTCATCAGGGGAAGCTGTTGCAGGATTACAACCACAGTTTAATGAGATACAAAAATGCCCATCAAAGGGAGTGATTGTTACAGGACCTGCTCCTCCAGGATCCGGATTTGATTTTTATAGTCGGTTCTTTTGCCCCAAATTGGGAATTCCAGAGGTAGTTTAGATAACTGTCACTAGAAATATACCTCTTAATATTTATACAACCTGGCCATATATATTCTCTCATTCACTATAAAGATAAGACTTACAGGGCTGCCCTATGAACTTGTAGAATCTAAGCTTTCTGGTAAAACTAGTAAGGTAACCAGTCCCTTGATCTTTTTTCCTTTCAGGATCCTGTTTGTGGAAGTGCTCATTGTGCCTTGGCTTCCTATTGGCATAAGATTCTAGGGAAACGGGACTTTATTGCTTATGCGGTACTACCTCTCTCTCAATTTTAGAAGTATATCTGTATACATACATGCTGAACTTTGTCAGGATCAAACGCTTACCACTACGCCAAAAGCTATAGCTAGTAGCGAAGGTGCAACTTTATTTCCTTATAGACTGCCATCACATTTTCAAGAGGCAGGGTACTAGACTTGACCCTTTATCGGCCTCTGCCCGACAATCCCCCTAGCCACAAATTGTTGGACTTGGCCCTTTACCGGCCTCTGCCCAACAAACTTGAACATGAACTCATGTTTGAGCTATATTCCAGCAGCTCTTGTTTGATACAATGATTTGTCCTTTGCTTGGTACAGGCATCACCTAGAAGTGGTGTGTTGAATGTGCGTATAGATGAGGAGAATCAAAGAGTACTTTTGCAAGGGAAAGCTTGTGCAGTGATGGAGGGTTCTCTTTTGGTTTAGTATAGGAAAAAGTTTATGCAAATCATGTCTGTGTTAAAAGAATGCCTCAAATGAAGACAGATCATTAAAAATACATTGATGAATCAATTCAAGACTACAGAGCTTCTCAGAAATGGGAATGGTTTCTTTCTTGTTTTCCTTGAAATGGGATTATTCCTAGCTAGCTTATTCAACAACAGAAAAATAGTGCTAAAATGCCCTTCTTAAAATATATTTCCTTGTTATATCTTATAATTTCATTGTTCTATGCCCTCAAGGACAGGCATATGCCTTTTATTTTTTTAAACCCAGAAAAAAACACTACTGTGGGGGTAAGAATTGAGTGCACTCTACTAAATTTTTTAGATGCATCTAATCTAACTATATTAAGAACATGCATATTCTTCATCAAGCTGGTGTTGTCTTTTATCATACAAGTAGTAAATATTTTATTACATTCGTCATCTAAGTAGTGGAGCAACCTTAAGAATCGATGCAAGGATGATCCATATATTTCTGAAACACTAATTTAAAAATTACACAACATCAAACTATTCGCGACATCAAACTATTCGCGCATTGGGTGTTAACTAATTAAGTATTGGAGAAAGCTCCAACAAGGCTCTCTGAAGTGGCAAAATAGTGCAATTAAAGTCTCATTATTTCCTATTCAACATTTTATCACTAATGTGGTGCTGACTAAGTTAACACGTGGCATCCTGATGCTTACGTGAAATTTAATTATACAATTTTTTATATTTAAAATTTATTTTTTGGTAATAAGAAGCTCTAGCAAGGCAGACAAGAAAATTACTGGTAAATCAATCAAAAAATGGACAAGCAAAACACCTCAAACAAATACATATTCAAATTATCTGCAATACACTACTCTATGCTGAATTCAGGTTAGTCCAATGCCTACTTTTATTTACAAATTTTCTAATTACAGTATTATACTAGAATTGTGGTGCTCCTTCACTTTCAACATTGAAAAAATGAAAATGAACAAGCAAAGATCACTCGACTCTGCGGCCTTTTCTCATCCAAACCAAACCAGACAAGTAGTGCAAGGATAGAGGATAGTCAACCAATGATCATGGCTCCAACTATTCAAGCATTATTTTCAAGGTTTCCCTGAGTAGCTGAGAAGCGAATGAGAAAATATCGTCTCATAAGAACAGACACGATTGCAATTCACCCACACATTTAAGCTTGCAACTTAGCATCAACACTCGCACAAGAGAAGGGTTCAGCAAGGCTGATCTGCTCACTGCTAACTGTAACTGGCCGATTGGGTTCATGAAGGTTACACACCACATTAGAAGGAGATGGGCACGTTGCAAATGTATCCTCAGAGCCGGTACTTGCTGAAGCTTCAGCTTCAGCTTCACTTTGTTGCCCTGCATTTCCAAGATGACAAAATTTCTTAATTGCGATTCATGAAAGGGAACCTCAACAAATACCCCCCTCCCGTCCCATTTTGTGTCTGGTTCAGTTAACGAGGATTGACTACAGTTATTTTTTAATTCAATTTTTCATAATGTTTAGTATTAGTATATAAAGTTTATATATTTAGAGACTACATTAAAAGTACTATTAAACACAAAAATCAAATTTAAAAATAAGCAAAGAATAGTAAACAAGACAGGTAAAATGGAACTGAGGGAGTATAATAGGAATGGGAATGTAGATTAAATACCAGTACAAGTCCCTTGTCTTCCAGTATCTTCTTCAGTCTTCAATAGTGGTTTCTGTAGCATATCTGTGCCGGGGAACACTACCATACTCATGCACCTCATTTCTTGTCTCTTTGCCTCCTCGAGGGGCATAAAGCCAAAAACCTTAGTCCATGTTTCATTAAGTGCTGGTATAGCAGGTATAACCAGTGTCTCAACACCAAGTTCAACAAGAACCTGACCGAATTCAAATACAATAAAAACATCAGGTATATAGGCCTGAAGAGAAACAAAATCACTCACAACTTGGTATCACAAATATCAAAAAAACGCACACAGCCACATAGGAAAAAATGAGAATACATCTCTATTTCATCTGTGGCTTTAGCCCTCTAATAGACTATTATCAAGCTAAGAGAAATCTAACAAAGGAAAAGGCTTTTGACACCATCAAACTGGTCACATAAACTTACCGTTTCAATTGCAGTTAGAAGTTGACGGCACATCCCTTTGCGACGATATGTGTACCGTGTCCCAATAAAAGGCATTTCAGCCAATTGATTCCCATGAAGCCTATGTACAGAGGAAACACATTATTTCAATTGTTAGTAACAAAAAAAAAAAAAAAAAAAAATACCAAGCAATAGATCAGCCATATAAAAGATACAGTATATAATTTCTGATGCTATTTTGTATGCAGATAATAAAAGCATCAAGCACACAAAATTTTGATTCCTAACAAAGTAAAAATGGTTTCTGAAAAAAAGATTACAGAGAGCACCCCAGTCCAGTCCACAAAACTTTATTCACTATATGGAACATATGAAATTCTAAACATTATTTGAGAAAATGTTACCCATACATTTGTAAAGCAAGATTAAACACATTAGGGCAATAATAGGAGGGAACCAAAAATTAAAAAACAAAAAACAAAAAACCATTCAAAGTCAACCTTATAGATGCTGCACAGGCAAGTTCATCACCCTTCTCCAGAATAAAAGTATAGAAGCCATCATAGTTCAGCCGCCTAAAATTTGACCTGGGAAAACAACAGTATTGCATTAACAAATATAAAACTAACCATAAAATGCTTTAAACCAGATATAATGAAGTACTATATATATCAGTAAACACAGTTATGAAATGCTTACCCACAGTTAAAGACAACATTGTGAACCATATTGATTTTGCCTCGTGGATCAACTATAGGCACAAAACACTCATCCATAACAGAGAATGCAACAGCTAATTTTGAGTTACATTCTATTCTTGATGAACCATTATTCTCTGTTTCGTCCTTCCTGGCATCACGTCGGTGAAGAAGTGTCCATGAAAGTCCTTCTTCCAACTCATGCCTTACCCCAAGAAGCGCCTGAAAGCCCATAAACAGCTACAGAGAAGAATTGTTAAGAGGACCTCAATGTGTAAAAAGTACTATATATACTATAGAATATACACAAGCTAATATCCCTATCAAAACAATTACGCTCTCCATGAACCCACCAACTCATTACCTGTGGGTAAATCATAAATGTGGAGTATACATTGTAATGGGTTAAAACAAGATACACCCGAGTTCTTTTGAGTCAAGTTGGGGTTTAGTCAATCCATACAAAGACAAACTCCAACCTGACCTAACGTTATATAATACATGCAAATATCTGCATCTGTCCGCGCATGTACATCTCAAATTATTTGTTTACTGAACTTGAAAAATCCAATCCTATTGCATCTATCTCTCATACACCAACATAGCCCTCTATAACTCGAGGGACTGTAAGCTCTGCTTGCATCAGACTATTTAAAGGAATTCTTTCCCAATCTGTGTTGGTAAGCCTCTTTAGTTGTCTGACTTGTCTATTTGATTGCAGCATTACATATTTTTTTTCTTTCATCCCCCAGTTTAGGGCTCAATTGCTTTAGGGTTTCAGCTGAAAGGAGGACACTTAATTTCCACACACAATCCTGTCTATAGATGGAAAGAAGAGAACTCAACATTTCTTGAATGGATATGGGAACCTAATCCATACTGTGGCATCAGAACTTGTTAGTTGTTACTATACTAGTTGCCAAATATGTTCCTCTTAAAATTTGCAGGTCCAACTGGCACTGAACCATGCTCTAATTGTTGATCTCCTAGGCCCTTTTAGGAATGAGCCCATTAGGTTAACAAATTAATACCTTTATAAACAGTAGATCTCTGTACAATTCTTGACACTGAATAAAAAGAATCCATTTTATTCTTTCACATGGTATCAGAGACTTTTTTTAAAAAAACACCTAAAACAAAATCCATTTCTTCCGCCGCGACGATTCTTCTTTGTTCCGACGTATCTAGTGGTTTTTCTCCCAATCTTTCACCACTAGACCTCTTGGAACCTCGTCGCGAGCCTACACCGGAAGACCCATCACCAACTGCCGCCGCACGCGCCCTCCGTGCCGCCACCGCCATCGGAATTGCTTTCGATTTTCCGGTTAGATTTCCTTCTCCAGATCTCCATTCAAGGTGTCGTTGCTACCCTTGGACTCACCTTTAAGAGGCGCACCTAGGAGTGTGTTCGAATCCATGATCTTCGTTGGTTACCACCGCCGCCGTCACCAACCACCTCGTGAGACCACTCCGATTCATGTTGCTCTCTCTCTCTCTCTCTCCTCTTCCGGTATTTAGTTGGTGCAGTGAACGTGGACGAACACGTGACTATAAATCATTGGGACTTACATCAGTTGGATATCAAGAATGCTTTTCTCCATGGCGACCTTCAAGATGAGGTTTATATGGAGCAACCACCTGGGTTTGTTGCTCAGGGGGAGTCTAGTTTGGTATGTAAACTTCATCGCTCCTTATATGGTTTGAAGCAGTCTCCACGGGCTTGGTTTGGGAGATTTAGCTCTGTGGTATCAGGTGTGTGAGTTTGGTATGATTAGAAGTGAAATTGATCATTATGTTTTTTATCGTCATTCTAATGGGAAATGCATATACCTTGCACTGTATGTGGATGACATTGTTATTACAAGGAGTGATCAAGAAGGATTTTTGGACAAACTAAAGTGTTTTCTTGGAATTGAAGTGGCCCAGTCTAGCGGTGGTATAGTCATTTCTCAAAGAAAGTATGCCTTGGATATTTTAGAAGAAACTGGTATGTTGGATTGTAGACCTGTGGATAATCCAATAGATCCGAATGTTAAACTTCTACCAGGACAGGGGGAGCCATTGCCTGACCGAGAACGATACAGGAGATTAATTGGAAAATTGAATTATCTCACAATCACACGACCAGATATCTCTTTTGCAGTTAGTGTGTTGAGTTAGTTTCTTGAGAACCCTTGTGATACTCATTCGAATATTGTTGTTCGGGTTCTAAGGTATATCAAGAGAGCACCAGTGCAAGGTTTACTATATGAAGATAGAGGGCATGCTCAGGTTGTTGGGTATTCTGATGCAGATTGGGCCGGTTGTCCATTTAACGGGCGCTCTACTTCAAGTTATTGTATACTCATTGGTGATAATCTTATATCTTGGAAAAGTAAGAAGCGATGTGGTTGCTAGGTCTAGTGTTGAAGCTGAATACGTAGCTATGGGCCTTGCCACATGTGAGCTCATGTGGTTGAAGCACTTACTTCAAGAGTTGCAATGTGGCAAACTGGCAATGTTGCTCAACGACACTGATATGTGACAACCAAGCAGCTCTACACATCGCCTCAAATGTAGTTTACCATGAGAGGACCAAACACATCGAGGTTGATTGCCACTTCATTAGGGAGAAGATCGTGTCAGGGTGTATTAAAACCAGCTTTGTCAATTCTGACAAAATCCCTTAGAGCTCCTAGAGTTGGATATATTTGTAACAAGCTTGGAGAATATGATTTATACTCTCTAGCTTGAGGGGGAGTGTTGAAACCCTAAGCCCTTTTAGGAATGGGCCCGTCAGGTTAATAGTTAATACTTGTATAAATAGTAGATCTCTGTACAGTTCTTGACACTGAATACAAGAATCCCTTTTATTCTTTCACACTAATCATGTGAATAAACACTGTTTGATTTGAACTCATTTGTGTGTGTGTGTGTGTGTGTGTGTGTCTCTCTCTATATTTAAGTGAAGGAACACTATGAATGTGGCTTTCTTCTAAACCGTAACAAATGTGGCTTTTAACAATTTATTTCCTTTCTTTTTCACTGTTACACTAAAAGAGACAATAGCAGAGTCATAACACTGGAAAGAACAATTAGTCTTGTATACATGTATACTGAGAAGTGGTCTAAAATAGCTGCTTGTCTTTTCTCCTTAGTACTAAATTGTGTCACCTGGTCTTAGTCCCACTATTATGTTCATCTGATCCTTGAAAGAACTCCAGTTTCGGCATTGAGTTGTTGCACGACTATTTTGCAATGGTTATTTACCCATGTAGAATGACAGTTTAATGTCTTGCTATTATGTATTCAGTATCAAAAGTTGTTGAACTTGCTGCGAACAAGGCAATTCATACATGTATTTAGATGGAAACAAAATTTAAACATTTATTTCAGGCATGGGATATACCTTTTTGCATCCTTTTCCACAAAAAGACAAATCCTTTGAATCAAAACCTTCAGTACCCTCAGTCTGAGTACAAGCCAAATGAACTGTGAAATGCCAGACAAAGTATCATAAGGACAATGAACAGGTTCCTATTATAAAATTGAAAAGGAGATTAGGGTTTTTTTCTGGGAAACAACAACAGAATTAAGTATATACATTTTCCCTCACACAACAGGCATGAGGACAATTCAGAGACATTTGTGGTGTCATCAACATGATGGAATAATTCAGCTTGACAGGATTTCCCACTGATTGTGCCGCAGAATTTGCATGAACAATATATACATCGCCAATCTCCAGAGGGAAACTTCTGCAGCATGTTGACAAAAATCAATACAGTTTGACTTGAAAAATTAAGAGTTGAACTGATATATAAATAAATAGTGCATATATAGTGGAGTAAAAAACCCTGATCTCTTACTTGAGGAATAAGAAGTGGCATTACATATTTAGCCACAGACCAAAAGTGTATACTTTTTGTTTTGAGTGCTATCATCTTACAGTGTCAATTCCAAGTCTTATATGCGTCCCATTTTCAAATGCATGTGGGGAAACTCTAGATTAGGCTGTCCTAACCTCAACCATTGTTTGAGGGAGAGAACTGAGATTGAAAAGTGCACCAATGGCTTGAGTTTTTAGCCTGACAATCTGACATTCAACATGGAAGCATATTCTTTTTATTTGGCATGACATAATCTTACGGTGTCAATGCAAAGACTTACTTGTGTCCCATTTTCACATCTACATGGAGAAATCCTAGTATTAAGCTGTCCTATTTTCAGCCATTATTTAGGGAGTGAGAAATGAGACAGAAAGATGCATCAAGGGCTGAAATTTTTAGCCTGATGTTAGACCAGACTATAAGTAGAGCTTCCCCATGTAAGTGAATATATTTCTTAATGGAAAACTAAAATAGTTGATAAAGATTTAATAACTGATTTATTCAGTACACAATCTAAAATTAAAAACTGCACAATTTCACTAAAAGGCAACCCAAATTGAATTAACTTCAATCTATGTCCATACACACACAAATTGCCTACACACCCTAAAATACAGTTGCAGTGTAAAAGAAATACAGAAATGAATACACATCCTTACTTGAATATTTAAACAACTTTGATGGAATGTTGATGGGCAGCCATCACAACAGATCAAGTCACCACCATCACCACAGATATTGCATGTGTCATCATTTGGATCATCACCATTCACATCCACAAGATGGAATCCAATATGATCAGATTCTTCTAGTTTACTCCATGAAGATACTAAGCATTGCAAAAGGGATAGTCCAGATGCAAGGCATATGTGTTTAAGTGGCTCTCCCAGTTCACTTCCAGCATGGGACTCAAATTCTAATAGGGAAAGTATTTTACCACAGCACTCACACAAAATCCCATCCCTGGTGATCTTTCCAGCATGCATTGCTCTTGTCCTCCTATCACTCATGTACTGCACCTCTGCATTAGACGGGATTGTTCCCAAATCAATCATCCACGAGAGAAGACTGCGCTTACCATCATACGCTACAAATCCATCACCACTTTGATCAGACACTTCACTAGAGTTTCGAGCCAAAAGAGCACATGGTTTTCTGTTTGCATTCATTTTAGTTTTTTTCCTGAAAGTTCTGTATCCAGATTTGGGGTTAGAATTGGATCTTTCTTTGCGTTGTGGGCTACGCATGCTCTTTTTAGCAGATTTTCCTTTTTGAATCAACTTATTTTTAGTCTTCTTTTTTCCCTTTTCGGTAATTCTGAATAGTGTTCCAAGTACCTCATCAGGAATTAGAGTAAATGCTGCAATGCTCTTATCATCCGCCTTTCCCCCTTCAACTTTCTCTTTGAGTTTCCTGTAGGCCAAAGTGACTGACCAATGTTGCCTTCCTTCACAATCAACATAAATTGCATCACTGTAGTCCCTACCTAATCTGGGCCTATATTCTATAGTCCATCCTGCCTTCATCAAAATATCAACTATCTGATCTCTGATGGCCTGTTTTTCTTCCCTACGACTCATTTCCCCTTCTCTTGATTTGTTACCATGTGTTTTTGACTTGATAACCTTTTTCTTTTCATCATTCAAAAGCTGTGGCACCACTTCTTCCAGTTGTGAATTTACAAACTTAGAACTTTTCGCTATTCTTCCTGCCATTCTAGGTTTAAGTATTTTCTTGGACACTTTGAATTTATCTTTTTGGTTAATAACCATCCTAGAAATACAATCTTTGTCCAACATCTTGGGCGGTCTACCACGACGACCTTTCTTTTTTTTAATTCCCTTGCCAATTGGAGAAGCAATTTCATTATTCTTGTTCCCACATGATTTATTCTTAGAATTATCAAACTCAAGATGATCAATATCTTTATTTATTTTTACACCCGCAAAACCTATACTCTCTCCGTTCAGACGAGTGTCAGTAGTAATAGCAATCGTCCTGGACCTCAACACCCTTCCAACATTTCCATTTGAGCCAGTCAAATGTAAGCGGTTTACCTTTCTTTCGTCTTCATCATGTTCACCGCATTGAGTATTCTCAACTCTCTTTCTTTTCCTCCCCCTGCGCTTCTTCCCTACAGGCGAAGGTAGAGCAGAACATTTAGCTGAATTCGGATCATCTTCTATCAACATTGCATCAGTTTCTTCAAGGTTCAATTTTTCAGCAATTGCAGAATCAGTAACCAACCCTGCATCACGGTCAGAACCGGCACTATTTCCAGGACATTCTTCAGAAGAAAACTGGCTCTTACTCTCTTCAAGCTCAATTTGTACAGAATGAGCATCACTATCCTGATGAGAGGCAGGTTCAGTTGTAATTAAAGAATCCTCAATTTTCTCAGGAGGATCAGCATTCAAGTCCAACTCCCGTCTAACCCCCTTCAACAAGGTACTGGATCTCAAACCCTCTCTCATCTCACCAAAGTAATCCTAAGAACACAGAAATTGAAATTTAAAAAAAAAATAAAATAAAACAAAAACAAAAACAAAAACAAAACAAAGATCATTACTCATAACTAAAATAGACTTGAACGGCAAAGAACAAATTTTAATGCAAGTTAACATGAAACTCAAAAAAAAAAAAAAAAAAAAAAAAAAAAAAAAAAAAAAAAAGTGAAAATTAAAGAATAAAAATCATACGCCAGTGAATAAAATTGGAAGCGTGAAGCAAGTATAAAATCTCACCTCTGGTGCAATATACGAAATCGGAGAAGCGGCAGTCAGATATACAAAATCTGTAAGTATAGGTTTGTAAAGTATGACAGAAGAGAAGAAAGATGAAATTAGAACAATGGATTTTTAGAGAGAGAATGAGAACTGACAGGGGTTTAGAGAGAGAGAGAGAGCGAATTGGAACTTCGGAAGAGAGAGGGTATGCGTAGTTGTGTACTTACGGAGTGATACAGCGTTGTGTAAAGCGTTTCGGGGGTTAAAATGTAATTTCGGCCGGATCTGTTCCCCTTCTTAGTTCATTCCCTCCACTCCGAGTTTCTGCTAATTTTTTTTTTTTTTGAATGCTACTGACTCTATTACATTGTAGTATGTGTTCAAATATACTTTCTCAACCTAATGAAGCACAAAGAGTCAACAACGCCTCCACTGAGGCTCGATCTCATGACTTCCCACATGGGAAAGGTCACTACATGCCATCTGAGCACAAGGTGCTTGGCAGTTTCTGCTAATTTATAAATCTTGAAATTCAAAAATCTCAACCAGTCATACTTATAATACCCTTTAGAAGATTGTCTCAAATCCATGCCCACTCTAGCTGAAACCAAATATGGGCGGGGATGGTCTACGACTATTGCGATCCAGCATGGTGAATTTAGAGATGGAGGAACGATTTGGTGTTTAACAATAAGGATCGGAACCATGGTAAAAGTTAAGGTGGATTTATATACAAGTAACTGAAACTAGAAATGTCTTTAGGAATAAGAAGAACGTGATCGGCACTCAACAGGAGCACTTCTTCTACTATTATCAATTTAATATGGAAGAAGCCTTCGAAAAGTTGGTATGTGCTTAATGTTGATGGAGTGTGATCAATGGGGGAGATGAGGGAGGCTGTGTTGGGGTACTATGCGACTCGCAAGGAAGCTGATGTGGTGGTTTTGGATGCAAGGTCTCTTCTTCCAAGGTGGCGATTATGGAAGTTTGGGGGATCCTCAAGGGTGTTGAATGGGTTTGGAATAAGGGGTTTAGGAAATTGATCGTGCAAAGTGAAGAAAATTATTGACTGGATTGAAGGATTTGAAGGTAGGAACACGTCTAAAGGACCTTTGTGTAACATCATTGAGAGATGCAAGAGAAACATTGAGAGATCTCCTTCACTCACATATATATAGAGAGCAAAATGTAGTGACGGACACTCTGGCTAATTATACTCGGGCCTCCAACACCACGTGGGTTGATTGGGGGAGGGGGAACCTCCTTCCAACGTCAATGATGATTTATTATTTGACTTAAGTGCTTTGCGGTGCGAGAGAGATATCTCGGAGGGTGTCCATTGACTAGACGTCGGGCTTTGCCCTCCCACTGATCCCAAAAAAATAATTCATGCCCACTCTTTCTATATTATCTCACTAGTACAAAAAGACGTGATTTCACTATGCCCCTCTAGAAAATTCAAAAATTTAAAAACTTCCTTCCATGCGCCCAGTTGGCACTGTACGCACCAATTGAACGAGAGGGCGCTAAACGCGCACACAAAGCGTTATTTGTTTTCATTTTGTTTTATGGGTCTCACAAAAAAAAAAAAAAAAAAAAAAAAAACATTTTCCTGCTACATACTCCTTCTCTCTTGTCTTCTCTCCCCTCCATGTCACCATCTCTCACATCCACATAATTCTAAAACTCCAAAAAAATTACAGTTGAAGATTCTCTAATAAGCGTTCATTTTTAATATACTAAATTTTTTAAAGTATATTAAAGATAAAACATTCAAAACATGAACATTTAATATGCTAAAAATGAACCTTCAATATACTAAAAATGTGTGAGTTGTTTAGAAAATTGCTTATCAACCAATGTTCGACTTATTTCAATTATTTGACCAACTTTAGCTATTTGACTAGTTAAAATACTAATTTGAGTATTTAGCCAAAAGTCAATTCAAATGCCAAGCTCTATACGGATGATATTTAAAAAAATGTAAATTTGAATAAAATTATATAGAAATTATAAGCACTACAATAATCAACAATTACAATAAACAATTTGACTTTTAAAACGAAAGCACAATAAATTAATATCAATACGCAACTCAAAGTAGCTTTTTCAACTTCTCAACTTATTGTCGTCAATAAGCTAAGCCAAAAAAAATATTTACCAAATTAAACACTCAAATTAGTTGTTCGACACTTTAATTAATCAAATAGCTAAAGTTATTTAGTAATGCAAATTTTGGTGAATAAGTCATTTTTCAAACACGTCATACGCTTTTTTAAGTATATTGAATGTTCATTTTTTAAATGTTCATATTAAATATAATTCAAAATATAAACATTCAGTATACTAAAAATGAACGTTATAGTGAATTATTATTAATAACTTATTTTTATTTTAATTTATATTTTAATACTAAAGTATTATTAACTATACAGTTCTTCTTTGTAATTATAACATTATTAATAATAAAATAAATAAAATTAAAATAATTAATAATAATAAAATAATACAAATAAATTGTAAAATTACTTTAAGGGGGCGTTTGGTTCAGGTCATCTTAGATTACCTAGGTCATCTGAGTCTGGTAATATTATATTACCTTGTTTGGTTCAAGTTATGAGATTACTAGGTAATGTTATATTACCTTAAAGCTGATGTGACGGTAATGTTTCAAGGTAATATGATTACCCCATTTTTTTAGGTAATCTTAGATTACCTTGAATTATTCCAACTTTGCCCTTGTTAACTAATCTTTATATAATAATAATAATAATAATAATAATAATAATAATAATAATAATAATAATAATAATGATGAAATTAATATATGTTTATATAATTAAATATACATATGTGTATATTTATATATTTAATTTTTTTTAATATTTAAGTTTTGATATACATTCATAGATATAAATAAAAAAAACACATAATAAATAAATATATATATATATATATATATATATATATATATATATAGAATTGCACTCAGGTGCGAATGCTTCGCCCAGGCGCGAAATAGGAATGAATTTTGTTCGTTCACGTGTCCAGATCTAATGGATGAGAAACGCTGATTTTTTTAAAAAAACGCGGTGGCATTTTCGTAAATAATTGAACATCGAAGTGCAAGTAAAATGTATTACAAGTGCATGTAAAATGTATTATAGGTGCAAGTAAAAACTTACACTGAGCATCAGTACTTAGTTGCACCTATAGTTTTAAGTAGTTGCACCTATAGTTCTAAGTAGTTGCACAAATAGTTATAAGTAGTTGCACCTAGGTGTATGAATGTTTGCGAGTGGTTTTCAGGGGTATTACTACCCGCTGAACTCAGATCAATGAATGCTAACAAGGCAAAATTACATGCACTTATAGGTGAAAGTAGGTGCACCTATAGTTATAAGTAGTTGCACCGATAGTTGTAAATAGTTGCATATATAGTTATAAGTAGTTGCACCGATAGTTGTAAATAGTTGCATATATAGTTATAAGCACACCCAGGTGCATGAATGTTTACGGAAAGTGAATGCTAACAAGGCAAAATTACATGCACTTATAGGTGAAAGTAGGTGCACCTATAGTTATAAGTAGTTGCACCTATAGTTATAAATAGTTGCACATATAGTTATAAGCACACCCAGATGCATGAATGTTTGCGGAAAGTGAATGCTAACAAGGCAAAATTACATGCACTTATAGGTGAAAGTAGGTGCACTTGTAAGTGATTTTACTTGCACTTCGATGTTCAATTATTTACGAAAATGCCACCGCATTTTTTTTAAGTTATTAGATCTGGACACGTGTCGCGCGCTGATTCGTTCGCATTTCCCTCCTGAGCACTTATTCGCACCTGAGTGCATCCCTATATATATATATATATATATATATATATATACGTATGTATGTATGTATGTATGTATTATTGAGGGCATTATTGTAAATTTATCTATATAACCTAAAATATAACCCTGAACCAAACAAGGTAATATTATATTACACCATTCAAACCAAACACACAAGGTAATCTTACATTCCCAAAATCTCACATTACCTTCCAGGAGGTAATCCTATTACCTGGGGTAATCCAAGATTCTGTGAACCAAACGCCCCCTTATAATCATGTATTACTATTATCTAGTTTAATTAACTAATACAATCAATTAATGGTCAAACACCTCTTATGTATATCAATGGTTCATCTTGCAATGTGGATCATGGTTCACGGTATAAAGATAAGTATGCTTATGGCGGGGTTGTCGCATCACTCAATAATGATATGCTATCATTAAATAACATACACTAATGGCATCTCGCATGCATCAGAAATAGGGGAGAAAGGGCTAGCAGGATAAGGGGGCGGGGGAGGATAAGTTTTCACCTAAGAGACTATTCTCTTCGGAGAGAACTACAAAGGCGCCATGCAACACACTGGCGCACATAGGGTGGGGGACAATTATGCCCCGCCCTATGTTATATATATATATATATATATATATATATATATATATATATATATCATTTGACCGTCGAGGTCAAAAATGTTTATTTGTTTATGTTTATTTTTTATTCTTTTTAAAATTTTTATTTTCAAATTTTGAGTTTAATTTATTTTAAAAATTTTAATTGTATTAGCGGTTAGTATATTTCAAATTTAAAATTTTGTATATGCCGCAAAATACAACAAAATGAGGAGTTGGACCAACAACACTTCTTTCCTTATCTCCTCATTTTGTTGGTTCAACTATTCCTCCACATCACCATATAATCATCTCATCTACGTCCGAATGCTGTGGAAGCCCAAAGAAAAATTGCATCCAAAATATTAGAATAAACTAATAATTTATTCTAACTTAAAATCCAATAGACTATCTTTCATCTTGCAATATTTACTTACATACTAATATAAGAAAAGCACATGCTACAAAAGTTACAAGAATAAAAATAATATAACTCACTTGCATCATTATTTAGTCAAGTTTTTAACATCTTGATTATGGTCACTTGGAATATAGATGATTCACAAGTTGTTCACGGACTTAGAACTATTGGAGGGAATCCTCGTTTGATTTGATTTTGTTTAATGTCACATTTTTTTCTTATGCATTTTTTTAGTACACACTAACCTAGTATTTGCTCAACAAATTATGCCGACCCTTATTAACTTCAAACGATGATAATAAGCCTAGTTTCTCATCTGTGTTGGATATATCCAGTAAATTCAACTCTTTATCCATATACAACCCTAAACCCTAAACCAAAACCTCTCCGTATACAGTATGCACTCTACGCAACCAACTATTTATCTGTACCCAATACTAATACGACAAAAAACAGGAGAGCAATTACGCTCCATTTCCCAATTTCACACTGTGTTGTGTAGGCTGACAAAGTTGACATTCAAACCATGCTTAAAGCCACTCGTCAATTATTCAAGGAATCTTGAGGAGGCTAACAAATTCCAATATTATAACAAAAGCAACGTCTAAAAGTCTAGTTGGGTTAGACAACCACTTAATGTGAGACACTATAGTAGAAAACATTATGGCCCACCGTGATATTATTGCCATATTCACATTCCTTAAGTTATGCAATATAACCTGAACCAAACACTGTCGAATGGTATATAAAGATTCCACAAAGTGCAGACTATATCCAGAGCTATATATGCTAAAGTAAAAAACAAATCTGCTACTTATAGTCTGATGAAACAAGAATTAAGGATCATTTAGGGGTCGTTTGGTTCACGGAATGTAAGATTACCTAGGGAATGTTAGATTGCTGGGAATGTTAGATTACTGGGAATGTTAGATTCTTGTGTTTGGTTAAAATTGGGGTATGTAATATAATGATGTTTGGTTTAGGGTTATCTTTTATACACACTATAATATCCTTAAACATATTTTCATATATTTTAATAAATTTAAAAATTAAAATAAATAAATAAGATAACGGTATCATATATAATCACATGATTTTAAAATATTAACTAAAATCTTGAACTTGAGAAACAAAATTATTTTATAAACTAACATAACATAATAAATATATATATATATATATATATATATATATATATATATATATATATATATATAACTAACATAACCAAGGTTATCTTAGATTACCTAAGATTTTGAAGGGAATCACATTCCCTTCAAAATCCTATGTGGAGGGAATGTGACATTCCTTGGGAATGTTAGATTCCCTGAGATAATATGAACCAAACACCGGAATGTGAGCTTTGGAATGTCACATTCCCTTGGTTATCTTATATAACCTGAACCAAACGCCCCCTTAATATAATGCATTTAAACTACTTGGAGAAACATTAAATAGCAAATCACCCAACTCAGGTTCTGACAAAAAATAAAGAAAACAACATAACAAGAGTGATGGAAATCACTTCTTCTTCCCTCCCTTAGCGGCATCTCCAGCCTTTGTCTGCAAAAGATGTAATTATATAATTAGCTCCAACACAATAACAAACTTGATTTCAAATCCATAGGAAATACTAAAAACTTCACGATTAGATAATAGATATTTCTCTATATTATATAAGGTGGCTTACCTTCTTTACACCTCGTATTTTCTTGGTCCTGTTCTTTCTCTCCTTCATCTGTTTTCTAGATTTTTCAACCTTGGTATCCAATCCATTCTGCAAAATTAGTTCAATAGCCCGTTATAACCAATCAATCTAATCAACTACAGAAACAGCATAAAAAAGAACTAATTCATCAGGTACACTGGGAATACATTGTGTTACTAATGTTAGAGTTGCACATCAACAAACACATGAAATAAATTCATTATACATAGTTGTGAATAGGATGATATGTGGGTAGCTTTAGGCTTTAGCTTGAATGTGATATTACAAACTGAAATATCTAAATGGTTAATTTAATGCAAACTAAAAGCTGCCTGCCAAATTCACACACACTTATTCATCACCAGGCATTATGAGAATATTAAAATGAAATACACCGAAAGCATTCAACAGTATTAAAAAATAAACCATAAGTAAGAACATTTCTAATGCCTCCTAATAAATTGAATTCAGTGGGCAAGATGAGAATTCCACTGGATTTTAAGAATAAGCAGGAATGCAATAACCAAAACAAAGTTTTTATCAATCAGTAATTAAGGTAAAATGCGTGTATTCATTTCACATGTGTGCCAATATTTGGTTCACCAGGATACTAAAGCCATGCACCTAGCAAGCTTCAAGATAAGAATCCATAAGAAACATAAGAACGTAAGTGAAATTAAGAAAGGTATGATACAGAGATCCATCACAGCAACATCATATTCAAAAGTTCTCACTAAAAGATAAGAGAGCCAATACCCAAAAAAAAAAAAAAAAAAAAAAAAAAACTCACCCTGATCAGCCTGTACTTGGGCTCGAATTTCTTCGCATTCTCAACTGAATCATAGATCAAACCAAACCCAGTTGATTTGCCACCACCAAAGTGAGTCCTGAATTTGAAGACAAAAATGGCATTGGGATCTTTAACCTCATACATTCTTGACAACTTATCCTTCAATTCCGCCTTCAAAAACATAACCAAATTGTAAGCATGACAACATATTCACAGGGAATCAAATGACAGCTCTTGGAGCTGATTAAAAAGCTATACAAATTGAGAGTAGTAACATTAGACAATTGATATTTAATCATGTCCAGTAAACCTTGATTGCACACTAATCAAACATAAATGCACCAGTAGCTCATTAACTCCACAATTAAGTTTGCACAATAATTATATGCAAAAATAAATAGCAAAAAGAAAATGAGGAAAATCGAGCAAGCTGCAATGAAAAGAAAAAGGTAAGAGAACTAACCTTCGAAACATTGGCCCTACCGGGGTGGAGAACATCGATGACCTACTTCAACAAAATCCAAAAAACCATCTAGTCAAACCAAAACAATGAGAAATGCATGCGTATCATGTGTATTTGCTAGCAATGTCGATCGACTGTTTAGAGGACTTACAAATTGCTTCCTAGCGAGAAGGCGATTGGTCATGAACTTCCTAGTTCTGATAGTTACCGCCTTGTCAGCCATTTTCCTGCAGATAAACTTTTCTTTAGATTCAACATGGCTACGCAAATGTATATAGATGCTACACAATCAGAAACTGTGAATAATACGTTGCTCTCTTTGCAGACTACACCGGCGACTGTCCAATTCGATCTACAAGGCACAAGCGCACTACCGCTTCCTCCGTCTCCCTTGTCTCGCGAGGCTGTGCCCTAATTTGCCAGGTAGTAGAATTTTAAGCCTAGGGTTTTTCATTTTATATCAGGGCTAAATTTGGGCCGTTTTAGGCGGGCCTCAATAATATCTATCTAAATCTATATATCTAAACTAGTACCCACCCAAGCGCAAATTATGCCGTGGAATCGTGTTCACGAGAATGGTGAACACAAGTCAAAACGATGTCGTTTTTAGGCAAAAAAAAAAAAAAAATCGCGGATGTGAAGTTAACGGCGCGTTACTGATCAAATTATGAATTTTCTGTTATTTATGAAAATTCATAATCTCATAACAGAAAATTCATAATCGCATAACAGAAAATTCATAATCTCACAACTGAAAATTCATAATCTCATAACAGAAAATTCATAATCTTATAACAGAAAATTCATAATCTCATGGTTCCAAAGTGAATGTGTAGGCATGGTTCCAAAGTGAATGTGCAGGCATGGATTCATAATTTATGAATGTCCGTGATTTCGGACGGGAATATGTAGGCATGGTTCCAAAGTGAATGTGCATGCATGAATTCATAATTTATGAATGTCCGAAACTCCAAAATTATGAATGTAATGAAAATTCATAATCTCATAACAGAAAATTCGTAATCTCATAACTGAAAATTCATAATCTCATAACAGAAAATTCATAATCTCATGGTTCCAAAGTGAATGTGTAGGCATGGTTCCAAAGTGAATGTGTAGGCAGTCACGTAATTAATTAGTCCGCCCTCGGAATAGTCATTTAGATTGTATTGGGTCCTTCTACACGATCAATAAAAGACTTTACTTGCCTTAACTTAGTCGTATTTTTTACTTTAACCGCATTACGTGGAATTAATACTATCAATAGTTATGAAATTATGAACATAGAACTCTGACATTATAAACTTACCATTATATACATATAATGATAAAATTAGGAATAGCTCTAAAATTATAAACATATAACTTGGAAAATGTCTTGCCGTATTTATAACATCATCATAGTCAATAGACGGAAGTCGGTATCAGTATTCACATTTCACTGTTCAACGGAACAAAAAAGCGGCAACAGCGATGGCTTCTCTGGGCTTCCCATTCTTGTTTTCTCAGCCACCGAGCCAGCCCCCCACTGGCTCCTCCCGCCCTCACTACCTCTCCGCAGCCGCTTGTGCTGCCGCTGTTGCTGCCGGCGGCGTAATCGCAATCTCGCCGATCACCCACAACCACCCACTGAATATCCTGCTCTCCAACTTCTCACCCAGCAAAAATAACTCCTCCCCGTTGTGGGGTTCTCTTTCTCTGTCTGATGGCTCCGCCCCGGCCACGGAATCGAGGACCGGCATCTCATTCCCGTCAGTTCTAAAGGGCTCGCAGCGACTTCTTGGAATTGGGTTAAGGAAGAAGGCTATCTTGGGGTTGAAAAACATCGATGTATATGCTTTTGGTATGGCATTGCTTTGTTTCTTCTTTTAATAGCCCTTTGTTTTACAAAGTTTAGTTTAGGGAGCTTAAAGCTCAAATCTTTACTCATCATTTCAGTTTTCCCTGACTAATTGGATCGAAATTCTCGAGTAATGTTAATTAATAATTATGTTAGCATAATTATGATGTGATGCTATGCTTTACATGCGAAATTTAGTGCTCAGTAGATTTAGTTGCCAAATTAAAGCATTGATGAAAATTCTGAAATTTTGGTTCCCAGTTTAAGATATCTTGATTTTGATTAAAGCATGTTTTGACCTAATTTGGACCTCAACATATGACATTGTAAATATAGGTGTTTATGCCAATGATGCTGATTTACAGAACATTCTGAAAGAGAAATATGAGACCCTTTCTGGGTCTGAGTCAAAGGGAAAGGATTTGAAGGATGAACTGATGGATAAGGATATACGCGCAACTGTTAGGCTTCAAATCATGTATGGAAGACTAAGCATTCGTTCTGTGCGTAGTGCTTTCGAAGAGTCTGTTGGAAGTAGACTACGCAAATTCGGTGGATCTGATGATAACAAAGAATTGCTTTCAAGGTATACTTTTGCGAGCCGGTTTTGCAAATTTGCAATACTTTGAGGAATGAATGTCCTTTGCTCTATTATTGATCTTTGTGGATGACCAAATAGTTTATCAGGAACAAGAAATGGATAAATTCTCTTGTTAGGATCAAGCGCTTACCGCTATGCCAAAAGCTATAGCTCATAGCAAAGGCGCAACTTTATTTTCTTATAGACCGTCATCACATTTTCGAGAGGCAGGGTGCTGGACTTGGTCCTTCACCGCCTCCGCCCAACAATCCCCTAGCCACCAATTGTTGGACTTGGGTTTTCATCGGCCTCTGCCCAACAATTTTCCCTCCCAACACCTGCCAGTCACAATTTTTACTCTGCTGGGAGTTGAACCGTGACCTGTCTCTGATACCACTTGTTAGATTGAGCACAACCCCCCCTAGCCACCAATTGTTGGACTTGGCTTACATCGGCCTCTGCCCAACAATTTACCCTCCCAGCACCTGCCAGTCACAATTTTTACTCTTGCTGGGAGTTGAAACCATGACCTGTCTCTGATACCACTTGTTAGATTGAGCACAACCCCGCTAGCCACCAATTGTTGGACTTGGCCCTTCATCGCCGCCTCCCAACAAAGATGTTTTTAATTCTTTACTTCTTCTCCTACCCCTCTAAGACTTGCTTATGACTCTCCTTTCTTGTTCTCTTCATTGACATCTAAATTGCTAATTGTGTGACTTGGAAAGGCAATTGCATACAACATTGTTCATGGTTCAATATCAAACACTCTTACTCCACCCTGCTTCCTCTCCATTAAATGAGATTGAAGTACTCATTTTTACTGCAGGTTCACTTCCCAGTTTAGAGATGAAATCAAAATACCCCGAGGAGCTGTCATAGAACTCTCAAGGGAGCCAGGCTACATACTCCAGACAACAAGTAAGATGTTTATTTCGTTGTCTTCAGAATCGCATCAAGATTTGATAGGAACAGTTCTTGGTTATGAAATTTCTTACTTTTGACTAATGATTTAGTTTTTTTTTTTTTTTTTTTTTTTTTTTTTTTTTTTTTTTTTTTTAAGAGTAATCATTAAACCACCAAAGTAGTAGGGTTATATTATCGGTTTTGCTAGATAGCACCTTGTGAAATTTGATCTTTCTGTTTATGTTCTTAAGATTTTAGTATACTTGTTTCATCCAAATGTATTCTGTTTGGTTGCTTAAACGTATAGCATCGTTTTCATTTTGTAGTTGATGGGAAGGAAGTGGGAAGCATACAGAGCAAGTTATTGTGTCGATCAATTCTAGACTTATACATTGGTGATGAACCATTTGATCGGAAGGCCAAAGACGATGTTGAACTCAACCTGGCTTCACTCCTCCAGAAGTAGTCCTGCTATTCACACACACAGGCATGAGAGGCATTTTTTTTTTTCTTCAAATTTTCCAGTAGGGATTTCTTGTATCTACAATAAAGCTGACCATCCCGGAAATAAGAGCAAAGTAGGCGGAACTTACAACAATGATATCCTTGTCCAGAAATAATAATTAAAATCCAATTAAATGTTAATGTTTAACTCCTACTTTAGCATAAATATAACAGATTCCCCAAAGAAGTTTGAAGTCAAGTGCCTTAAAGCATCTAAACTCAAAACCCCTACCAGAGTTAGTACATTCACTTGTTCAACGGGGAGGAAGAATAAATTTGTATACATCTACTAAAGCATATTCGAATACCAAATATTTAACTTTGATTCTGATTTCCATTCCAAACTTTGATTCTGATTTCCATTCCAATATTTGAACCACACGCCCCCCTTTATCATTAAAATTTTGAAAACAAGTGTACAAATTTATCAATTTGAAACACAAACACGCTCAATTACTCAACATGCACTCAGATATCGGGAAAAGTACATTTGCAGCAGAACTCAATTTACATCTTGTACAAAACCGGCTTCTAAACTGTCAACAACTCCTGCCAGACCAAAACCAAGATAAAGCCATGTTACAAGTCCACCCTTAAAATGAAAATATATTAAGATAATTGTCACAACAATTATTACAAGTTTTAGATAGTATCTGCGAAAGCCGAAAGGAGGCTAGCTTTATAGGCTACTAAAACCATCTTCTCACAGTCTCACTTCTCAACTAATAGTATAGACTTTGATATCGAGAGGCATACTTAATGGGATATTATTATTTGAGTTGCCACTCACGGGTGAAGAAGGATTTATTAACTATCCAAAGAATCAATGCTCCCCCCACCGGGGTTTGGTCCTGTGACAACCCATTTGGAATGGTACCATCACACTACATAGTAGTTGGCAAGGGTTTATTAACCACTCTGTATAATATTTCTTCCACTTCTATTTCCATACTCTTGTTTTACTTGGGGTTTGGATCACGGATTTTTCAGTTGATAAAATTGAAACTCACTCAGAAATCGAAACCATTTCTAATCCAATATTTACCTTCTCCTTTTGCTTGTAGATACTATCAATTTTCTTCATGTACTCATCAGTCACTTTCTGCAAATCACTAGACAGATCCTTTACATTGTCCTCAGATAGCTTTTTCTCCTGAGAAAGATAATACAAGTCACCAAAAGAAGTACAAGTCTCCAACAATAAAGAGGAGGGAAGAAGTCAAAGATGTCAAACCTTCTCAAGTTTTTCATAGGATTTCAAGGCATCCCTTCTTATATTCCTAATAGCTACCTATAAATATAAACAAAGAGAAGTCAAGATAAAAAAAAAAAATTCAATGAATGTTGTAAGGGACACACGGGTTGCAAATTAGATATGCAGGGCATGGTTCACGCCTTTAGCAACTCTATTCGTAATGGAGGAAACTCATGATTAAGTGAAAACTATCATAGTAGTGGTGACACGAGTCGTTGATTGGCATTATTAAGCACAACATCTAACATTCATAATTGAGCATTAGTTAATCATCAGAAGTTAAGAGCCTCAGAATTGTAGCCATCTATGATCTATTAGGAAAAGATGAATTCATCCAGACTAACGAGTAATAAACTATGGATTTTATCAATTGGTGTAGATAATTTACCATCAAAGCATTCATCTTAAGAAATAAGTTAAAGGAAATGTGCAGGTTACTGCAAAACAGTACCTTTCCTTCCTCAGCCTGCTTGGCCACAACTTTTGACAACTCCTACACAATGGAAAAAGAAAGAAATTGATATTATATCATGTTTCATTAAATTATATTGGCAAAAAATCTCTAATCAAACCTAAATTTGATTGAAAGATGATCTGTATGTAGCAAAGGAACTCCAGGGGTGTCCAAAGAAAAACTAATTAAAAGCTGGGACCAAGTATATCAGAGGCAGTATAACCTACTTAAGAACGTTAAAATTAAAATGTGTAAAGTGTGCAAAGTATATAATTAACCTCTCACATAGCAATTTTGTATAATGCAATGATGAGATTTGTAAATTGCCATATGAAAATAGTCATGTTTAAAATTGGAACCAATAAGACATGCCCTTACTACGAAAGAGGTCAAAGGCACACCTTCCTCCTTTCAGCTGTCAGTTGAGGGAGAGCTAATCTTATCACTTCTCCATCAGAATTAGGAGTCATACCAAGATCAGAGGTGACAATGGCCTTCTCTATAGCTTTTAGGCTTATGATCAAACAAGAACCACCATGTCATAAACATATACATCATGTGGGTTAAAATCACAGCACACATCAGCAAGTTAGACTTGACAGTAACGACTAGATCATATAACTTATCAAAAACCAACAGAACTGCAGGAAAACAGTAAATCCAAAATAAACAGATAAATAAGGGTGTGTTTGGTTCATGGGGTTAGACACAAGGAATGGGAATGGAAGTCTTACACATTGTTTGGTTGACAATTTTTTAAAACACAGGTATAGGATTTGATTACCCCTATAATTATAAAATTCATTACCTAATTTAAATCAGGTATCATTCCATTAATTCAATCTTATCTCTCCTCATTTCATCGCCTCATCATTTTGTCACCTCCTCACTCATCTCTTCTCACTTCATCGACTTCCTCACTACATTGCCTACTCACTTCATCGCCATCTTAAGATCAATTGCCTTGATTTTTTGGTTTTGTATTTTTAAAACCTTTATTCTGATTATAAGCACATACATAATCAAACATCAATATTGGTAATCATTCCAATTCCACCTTACTACCAAACATGCAAAATACTTTCGCTAAAATTCAATTCCAATTACTATGTATTTGATTCCCATCCGATTCCGATTCCTATGTTCGAACCAAACACAGCCTAAATAATCATGAGATTCAACACAGAAACTCCTCAGGAAATTTCAGCAAGTCTTTGAAATTCTGTGTATCTACAAGACTGGAGCAAAAGCATTTGTGTGACTTCTTTTCAAGGCAGAAAAAGAAAAGAGACATTGTTCATGTCCTTTAAGAATATGATTACTGGATGGTACCTGGATTTGTCATAGGGCTGTACCAGGAGAGAACTTGCATCAGGAGTGCTAATTTGAGCTATGCTCTTCAAGCTGACTGGAGTACCATAATACTCCACCTGCCAAATCGAGAAGAGCCATCATCCAAACGATAAAAAAAAAAAAAAACCAAACATAATTAGTCACAGCTCATAAAATCCAAGATATATTTACAAACACACACACACACACACACACAACACGTCTCAAAGATTGAGACATTTTATTTTCCACAAGGAAAACTAGAAATTGCAAACAGCTTTCTACCTCAACTTTATCCAATATTGCAGGGTTAGCTCTCCCTGTCCTTATAGAGTTGAAATTGGACTTAACATTCTCAATAGTCTTTTCCATCCTTTCTTTCTGGAACAACAAATGGAGTTAACTTAACTTTCTAATATGCGGCAATCAAACATTATTTCTTCTAAAGTAATTGCCTTAACATCTATGTATACTTACAACATCTGCCTCAATAAAAGATTTTTCAGCTTCTATTTCTTCTATGGTTGCACACCTAAACACTCCAGTTCTGAAAAACCACCAAAATGAGAAAACAAAGTTTTAGTCCTAAAAGGACAGCCACACCTCAAGACAACGGCCTAAAAAAACCTTGCCTCTGCTTCCCTGATAGCTTGACAAGAGGCTTCATAGCAAGCTCCCTCGCACAAATTTGCAATTTCACATAATTCGACGCCGCGCTCAATGAAGCAACATTTGCTGAAGTGGAATAACCATCTGCAAAAGGTGAAAATAAGGAAATTCCATCCAAAAATTGTAAAGAAAAAGATTACTTCATAGAACTAAGCGGGGGATTAGACCGTGCCTCGAAGGGAAAGGAGGAGTTTGGAAGAGTTAGGCTTGTTGGCAGGTCGTTGTGGGTAGAGCGAACGAACATGAGCCGCCGGCGAGAAAGTCATTGCCATTTTATGCTCGAAACTTGTTCGACTAAATGCGGAAGTGAACTGTTTAGTGTGACTGACTTTTTGATATTTTTTCTGATAATTTGGCCGTTAAGCAGATAGAAAAACCGGTGAGGCCATGAGCCAGAGTTGTGGATAAGAGACGTTCCCAGCCCTTCTGTTTTTGCTGTATATTACGGAGTATAAGGCTATAAGCATTAAGCAATTCATTTATTATGCTGCAAGAGCAAAGGAGCCCAGGCCCATTTCTGCCAATAGTTATGGTGTGTAATTGAATGCTCCATGCGCATGGTGCATACGATGCAAAACGACGTCGTCTTGACTAAAAACACACGTTTCACTTAAAAAGAAAAAAAACAGGTTCGATTCTCGACAATAATATTATTGTGGATATATAGTTATGAATTTTGGATATATAGTTATGAATTTGTGGATATATAGTTATTAATTTATGCATATTTAGTTCATTCATTGTGGATATTTAGTTCATTCATTCATTCATTCACTGTGGATATATAGTTATGAATTTCTGGATATATAGTTATGAATTTATAGATATTTAGTTCATTCATTGTGAATATTTAGTTCATTCATTGTAGATATTTACTTCATTCATTCACTGTCTTCATTCATTCACTGTGGATTTAGTTTATTCATTGTGGATTTTTACTTCATTCATTCACTATGGATATATAGTTATGAATTTGTGGATATATAGTTATAAATTTATGGATATATAGTTATGAATTTATGGATATATAAAAATGCTATTGCCGGGAATCGAACATGATTTCTTCTTTAAGTGGGACGCGCGTTTTTTTAACCAAAACGACGTCGTTTTGCATCGAATGCACCATACGCATGGTGCATTCGGCTGCACAGCATAATTTGTGCATTTCTGCGTCGGTCGGAAAGTCGAAATCAGAATGCCCAAAATCAAGGCTTGTTGCATCAAGCCTATAAATCATAAATGCAATCGTTATGCTATGGACCCGTGTCCAGCATACATTGTGGACACGATAACGGTATTGTTAGTGGCACCATTATCTTCCACTAATTTTTTAAAAAAAATTTCAAATCGCTTCGTTATAGGAGTATATGTTCATAATTTTATCACTATATGTTCATAACGTCAGAGTTCTGTGTTCATAATTTCATAACTGTACATTCATACTTCCATAACTGTACATTCATAATTCCGTAACTGTACATTCATAATTCAATAACTGTAAATTCATAATTTTCGAAGCTCTATGTTCATAATTTTAGAGCTCTATGTTCATAATTTTATCACTATATCATAATTGTAAGTTCATAATGCCAGAGCTCTGTGTCCATAATTCCATAACTGTACATTCATAATTCCATAACTGTACATTCATAATTTTCGAAGCTCTATATTCACAATTTTCGAGCTCAGTGTTGATAATGTTATCACTATATGTTCATAATGTTATCACTATATGTTCATAATTGTAAGTTCATAACGTCAGAGCTCTGTATTCATAATTTCATAACTGTGTATTCATAATTTCATAACTGTGTATTCATAATTTCATAAACGAATAACGCCGTTAACGTCGAGACAATCAATTTTTTTTTTTTAAAACTGGAATGCTGTCGTTTCCCTTGAAAACAACGTCGTTTTGGACTCGTGTCCACAATGCATTGTGGACACGAGTCCACAACATAATTTGCCTCATAAATGCCCGTTGCGGAAGGCAAATTATTCTGTTGACTTAGGTCCAAAAATTTACAATTTATATACTGAATGTTCACAATTTACATATTGAATGTTCACAATTTTATATATTAAATGTTCACAATTTACATATTTAACATTCAGTATGTAAACAGTGTATTTTGACCCGGGTCAATGGCATAATTATTGATCTCAGAAAATGCAATTCATCTTCTTTCAACAATGGTTACCAGTTGTTATATAGTGGACCATGGTCCACAGTGCTATGTGGACCATAGTTGTCAAATGAAACTGTAATATAATTAAAATGATACTTTAGTGTTGCTCAAACGAAACTAGTGTTTGTGAAAAATGAAACTAAAAAGCATAGCTCATTCAACAACGTATTATCAAATGAAACTGTAGTATAATTAAAATGATACTTTAATATTGTTAAAATGAAACTAATGTGTGTGGGAAATGAAACTAAAATTCAGAACCATACAATAACATATATTGTCAAATGACCGTAGAGTATAATTAAGAGTGTGTTTGAAAACCTGGAAAATGAGTTCTGGAAATCATTTTTCAAGTTTTCATTGTTTGGATGTGCTTGGAAAATCAAGTCAACGAAAATCATTTTCCGTTGACTTTGGAAAATAGGCTTGTTTTGGAGGAAAATGTCTTTCCCTTTTTTTGGGGGAGTCATTTTCCAACTTTTACACCAACATCACACCACCACCAACATCACCAACACCATACCACCACCACCTCACTACCACCATCACTACCACTATTGCAACCGCCACCACTACTATACCACCACCACTACCACCACCAACACCATACCACCGCAACCACTACCATCACCAACACCATCAACACCATACCACCACCACCACCACCGTTGCCACCACCACCACCACCATACCACCGCAACCATCGTCGCCGCCACCACCACCACCATCACTACCATCACCGTCGCCGCCACTACCACCACCATACCACCGCAACCACCGTCGCCGCTACCACCACCACCATCACACCACCACCACTACCACCATCGCCGTCGCCGCCACTACCACCATACCACCGCCACCACCACCACCGCCGCCACCACACCACCATCACACCACCGTCGCCGCCACTACCACCACCACAACCACCGTTGTCGCCACCACCACCATACCACCGCAACCACCGTCGCTGCCACCACCACCACCATACCACCGCCGCCGCCACCACCACCACCATCACACCACCGCCACTACCACCACCATACCACCGCAACCACCGTCGCCGCCACCACCACCATACCATTGCAACCACTACCACCATCACACCACCGCCGCCGCCGCCACCACCATACCACCGCCACCACACCACCACCATCACACCACCACCACTACTACCATACCACCGCAACTACCGTCGACGCCACCACCACCATACCATCGCAACCACCGCCGCCGCCGCCACCACCACCACCATACCACTGCAACCACCGCCACCACACCATCACCACCACCACCACTGCTACCACCGTCATACCACCACCAGTTATTATTATTATTATTATTATTATTATTATTATTATTATTATTATTATTATTATTATTATTATTATTATTATTATATAACAAATAACACCACTACCACCATAATATTTTTGATATATTATTAGTTATTTTTTAATATATTTAAAATTATTATTAGATTATTATACATGTTGTAATATTCTAAATAAAATAATTAAAATGTTTAATTATACAAATCTACTCATTTTCCAGAAAATGAACCAAACACACAAAAACAGTTTTCCAGAATGCAACCAAACACTGGGAAGGAAAATATTTTCCGGAAAATGGCTCATTTTCCAGAAGTCATTTTCCTGCTTTCCAAACAGACCCTAAAACAATAATTTAACGTTATTATAATTAAACTAATGTGTGTGAAAATTGTATGACTAAGAAAGAAAAAATGGGAGTGAGGGAAAAAAAAAGAAAAGAAAAAAAAAACAAAAACAAAGTTTGAAAACAAAATTTCTAAAAAAAGTGCAGATGAATGCGCCCAGCTAGCACATGCACTGCATATGCTCGGCTAGGTGCGGGATGTGCGCCAAACGCGCAATAATGCATCTCTCTTCTGCCATTTCTCTCTCCCACCAAACCCATAAAAAACTAGGCTCTTGCATGAGAAAAACATTAAAAAACAATCACTTTCCCAAGGTCCCATTTGTATAAAAAGTAAAAATCATTGTTTAATTTTTTGACCCGTAAAAATTTGAACAAAGATCACTAATGTAATTGCTCTAATGACTATGCTCTGATGGTACAATCATGACATGATGGCAACTTATTACCCCAAGTCAATAGATCAAGCTTAACTCCAATATTCAAAAGCAATATTATAATTATTATTTTTTTCTTGTCTCTCATTGAAACTTAAATACTTGCAAATACTAAAATACAAAAAAATGCATGCCAATAAAATAAAATTGCGTAGCTAATTTCACATGGATATGGCTAATGGCTATGGCCACTCTATGGGTTTGTACCCAGCGAATTTAACCAACACGTATTGATAGTGACAAACAATACACACAAAATGCATATTACATGGTGTTTGGTTGGAGGGGAGAATTATGTGAGAAAGGAATTGTAATTTCATGGGAGTTGAATTATTAGGAATAAAGTGGGAATTTAAATTCCAGTGTTTGGTTGACATGAATAGAATTACTGGAAAATTCAATTTCAATGTTTGGTACACATAGGAATTGAAAGGGAATAAGTAGTATAAAGTCAAAAATGTCCATTATTGTTGTTAGACATTAATTTTAAGTTAAAAAAGGAAGGGGTAATTTTGACTCGTCACTATTTTTTTTTCCCCAGGAATTCAAATCCCAGGGGGGACATGGGATTTTAATTCAATGAAAATTGGGGAATTGCAATTCCATGGAATTGCAATTCCCTCCAACCAAACTACGGAATTTAATGGCCTTTGGAATTAGGTGGGAATTAAGTAGGAAGGAAATTTAAAATCTCTCCAACCAAACGCCCCGTTAGTTCCCCGCCATGCCACTATTTATGGTAAGATTATTGCATTTCCGATCTTTATCAAAACCAAAACATACAAATATGCATTTATAAGTAATTCCATCGAGAATTATCAGCGAATAAGACTATTCATTTATTAGCGCAGAAGTCATTTTCTATGACTATTGTAGAGAGTGATTCTTTACCCTTCCCTCTTTTATTGTTAAAACTATGTATTTTCAAGCTTGTTAATGGAATCGTTTCTGTTTATGTCTGATAGGGAATATACCTTGATATACCAATCCGTGTGTACTAAGCACCTGATTGGGTCTGCATCCACACATATTGAAAATCTTTTCTGGACTTGATCCGACCTTGAGAGAGTACCTAACTGACTCGACCTGAGAGTTAGGCATCCAATTGGCTTAATGAGCTTCTGCTCTTACCCT